AATTCAACGATCAAAATCGCAACATCCGTGGCGGAGGCAGAGGAGAGTTCATCTCCAAAAAATGTGGGAACTTATGGGGATATTGTGCGATTTTCTCGAAACCTACAGTGATAACAAAACATTTTCTACCATAATAAGGTTGCGAAATGTGGGCAGCCACATATTGGCATATAATTTGTTACTTCAGGGAAAAAACAAAGGGTGGAGCCGGATCTGCCACGATTGCCTCAACTCAGTGATCCCACTAAGGTTGCAGTAGAAATATTGGCGAACATGTCGGAGCTCGGTCCCGGTCCTGCTACACCATCTACTTTTTGTCAAATTTATGTACCAATTTTATTGTCCCTCCTTCCATCTCCTTCCCAACTCCCCTTCTCCGATCTTCACCTGCGCCTGTTGTGCCAGCTGCCATCCATTGCAACCACTGCAACCATTGCAATATTCCATCGCTTAATTTCTATATAAATGGCGATCGCAACGCCGAAATAGTTGCGTCGTTCAAAGAACTTGTGCAGCCGAAGAGGAGCAGATCGCTCCGCTACTCTATGCAGAACAGCCAAGGATGGACGCAACGGTCCGAAGGGCTTGGATCTGGAGGCACGAAAAAAAGTCAACAGCTCCCTGGTGGACAGCGGAGCTAGCTTGGATCTGAAACTGATCTTGGGTTAATCCAATAGGTACTCCACATATCAGAATCATTGTTCTTCAGGTTGCAGATTAGCAAAGCAATCCACACATATTAGAACAGCGAAAAAAATGTCTTGAATACATATCAACTTTTGATAGCAAAATCAAAGGTTTCCCATTTCCCTATATTTATGACACTTGTTACGTGCGTATTATACAACGAGCCTACCAAGATTCTTGACAACTCCAAGAGAGACTTCTCGAAGTGCCAGCATTTATAAATCAAAGGAATTTACTATTTCGGAAATAGTTTGTAGTTTGATTCTGTAATACGCAAAAACTTGCGACTTTTGACTAACTTGCGATATTTGGCGAGTCGGTGCCTCCAGCCTCCAGATACACTTAAAGAATTTGGACCGGAGAGGGTAAGGGACGTCACTTGCGCCTTCGTATTGCGAGCCAAGATGCTGCGGGGAAGCGTGTGGAATGTCATCATCATGAGGATGGTATGGGAATATCATGACCCTATGTGACACTTGGGATAAATACATAAGAACCACGAATATCTAATTGGGAGATATTCAAAGATGAACAAAGATAATTTGGGATACTTGGGTGTGTCTCAAAAAATCTTCGTAACATTTCGTAACTGTATCCCCCTCTTTTTTGCCTTTATCATTGGGAACATCATGATGAAGCGTGTAACTTTGCGGGTCCATTCAAGTGGTTTTCCCCGAAATCTTCAACCCGCGATTATCGTCCCGAATGACCAATGAACTGCCCATCTCAAAACTTGGATCGTCATCACCATTTCAGTAAAACAGCTGTAAAAAACTCATTTGAAAGCACGAATATGTGCCCAATCATGAGGTAATTCGGTAAGCCATAGGTTTCACCCCCGTGGTAAAGACCTCAACTCAACCACTACAACGTGAGCGTCCCAAAAAAGTGAGAAAGTTGGAAGCCTGGAAATTTTTGTGGGGAAAACAGCATCGAAGTACCATCCTGGAAATACCAAGTACGATCTTTTTCCTGACCCCAAGAGTTGTTGAAGAGAGAGAGAAGACAGAGAGTTCAAGAATACACGTGTTTGCATATTCAGAACAAAGTCGTACGTAGATTCTAACTGTTGGATTTTCTCAAGAAGGCAAAACAAACAGACATTCTCAGTAGATTGCCCCAACGGTTGACTCATCAATTGCACGATGTGTACTCATCAATTGCACGCTGTGTAAATAGAGATGTATATAATATATGTGTAAATATATATATATACATATGTATATACACATAAAAATAACATATTCCCATGTTATGTATATATTCAGCAAATCCATGCACCAACTGTGCGCAGCAAATAAGGACTTGTTTCAAAAGAAACAAAAAGCAAAAAGTAAAAAATAAAATAAACCCTTCCCAAAACATTTTTTTTACACACGATTTATCATGGTTTTAGTAGGAGACTTTAGGAGCAAGGAAATAAAGGGCTGTTCAATATTAACGGGGGAAGGGATTGATCATGTTTAATCCTAAAATAACCATAAGCCATAACACCATCTGAGAAGCAACGGGCCGTCGTCATCCTTCCCAGAAACCGTGAGAATCCAAACAGAATGGATACCCTCTGGTAATTTAACATAGCTATGGAAAATCACCATTTTCAATGGGAAAACTCACTATAAATGGCCATTTTCAATAGCAAACTGTTAAATTACCAGAGGGTATACATCATACATATCCGGATATCCCTATTAAGGATTGGTGACCATCCCCTTTTGTGGGAAGGCAACCCATGTTTTGACCGTGGCACAAAAAAGGGTGCTCGGAAAATAGATAGTATACTACTGCAAATTGGCAAGTTTGATGGGACATTCACCAGCAAATTTACCATATTTTCAAACAAAACCATATTTATTGATTTCCACAGGGATGAGGTTGTAATCCCTACAAAAAGGGCCTCCAAAACAGATAGGTAAGCTGGTTTATTTCACAAGTATTTCACTGGGATTGAAAGTGCACAAATCTGCGATTGTAATAGATTATTTTCACATACCCCTTCCAGGGGCACTACCCCTATAAATCAACCAGTATTGGGGAATATGAACCATTAATACAACCCATATATATATATATATATTAACCCATAAATATAACCCATTAATATAACCCGTATATATATATATATATATGAACCATTAATATAACCATGAATATTACCCCTATATATAACCAATATTTAACCCATGTTTCTGGGCCAATGTCCACTTGGGACATGTTTGTTTCCCCTGTTTCCGGGCCCCTGGAGATCCAAATACCCCCCTGTTCTCAAGCCTACCAAGCCATAAGTAATCTATTTATTTTTTAAAAAAAAAACATACTTATAGCTATCGTAAATGGCAAGCCTCAGCTTTTTATATATATATATATATATTTATTTATTTATTGATTTATTTATATGCATCGACATTCTTTGACATTCACCATGATTCAGCCAGAAATGTCCGTTGAAAAATCGGTGGCCTCGATAGCATGCCACCACAGCCTGAGATGTGCGGCATAGCTGGCATAGCTCGAAGTCGATGAAGGGAACATCTACATGGGGGTTTCCTAAGTCATGGGGGTACCCCAAAAGCTGGATAGTTTATAATAGAACATCCTATTAAATATGGATGATTTGGAGGTACCCCTGTTTTAGGAAACCTCCAAATGTTTCCATGTGATGTTTCCAAAGGAAATATGGGAGCTGACTGCAGATTTGTCATCCTGTCATGAGCCAATACTTGTCTTTCAGCAATACAACAATACGGATATCTAAATTCCACACAAGTTGATATCCTTGGATACCTGCAACAAACCTATGAAAAATCAAGGACGTGAATAGGAAAACCAATTCACAGTAGGTAATATATTACCCCGGAAAAAAACATCAGTCCAGGAAGTGGGGCTGGCAAGTTGTCCCATACATCATTGTGTGTTACAACCAGTCTTATGTTACAATGTGGGGCCCCCCAGTGATGTGAATGTTGGTTTATAAACCCCATGAATAATCAAAGGAAGTTGGGAAGCAATACTTCCGAGTTACGAATGACTTTTACTTGATGGAATTGACTATGATGAAGGGTGGTGCGCGAGTGAGACTTGACCTTGATGAAGGGTGGTGTGAGCCTTTGCATTACATGACAATACAGAGTGATGAAGGGGGGTGCGCGAGTGAGACTTGACCTTGATGAAGGGTGGTGTGAGCCTTTGCATTACATGACAATACAGCAGAAAAGAACTGACTTTGATGAAGGGTGGTGTGAGACTTTACACTACATAACCATACATCAGAAAAGAACTGACCTTGATGAAGGGTGGTGTGAGACTTGACACTACATAACAATACATCAGAAAAGAACTGACCTTGATGAAGGGTGGTGTGAGACTTTACACTACATAACAATACATGAGTGAAGAACTGACTTTGATGAAGGGTGGTGTGAGACTTTACACTATGACAATACATCAGGAAAGAACTGACCTTGATGAAGGGTGGTGTGAGCCTTTGCATTACATGACAATACAGTAGAAAAGAACTGACTTTGATGAAGGGTGGTGTGAGACTTTACACTACATAACAATACATGAGTGAAGAACTGACTTTGATGAAGGGTGGTGTGAGACTTTACACTACATGACAATACAGCAGGAAAGAACTTACTTTGATGAAGGGTGGTTGTGAGACTTTACACTCAATAACAATACATCAGGAAAGAACTGACTTTGAGTTTTGCAGCGAGTGGTTGTTCCTGTGTGCGTAGTCCTATGCGGTTCTTGAATCTCTGGTTGCAGATTGGAATGGAATGGCTGATTCATTGTTAGTCATGGCTGCATGAATGTTGCATGGGCTATGTTTTGGGGAGGAAGCCGGAGCACGAAACCTTGTGTTTTTCCGTGTAAAGTGGCTGCAGCCGGCGATGAAAGGTACCTCGTCTGTGCGGCGGGTGCGGCTGGGGTCGTTTCTGTCGCGAATTGTTCCTCCTATGTGTTTTGCAACGAGTGGTTGTTCCTGTGTGCGTAGTTCTATGCGTTTCTTGAAGCTGTGGGCTGCGAAACGCATTGTAATGGCTGCATGAATGTTGCATGGGCTATGTTTTGGGGAGGAAGCCGGAGCATGAAACCTCGTGTTTTTCCGTGTAAAGTGGCTGCAGCCGACGATGAAAGGTACCTCGTCTGTGCGGCGGGTGCGGCTGGGGTCGTTTTGTGCGCGAATTGTTCCTCCTATGTGTTTTGCAACGAGTGGTTGTGTCTGTGTGCGTAGTTCTATGCGGTTCTTGAATCTCTGGTTGCAGATTGCATTGTAATGGCTGCATGAATGTTGCATGGGCTATGTTTTGGGGAGGAAGCCGGAGCACGAAACCTTGCGTTTTTCCGTGTAAAGTGGCTGCAGCCGGCGATGAAAGGTACCTCGTCTGTGCGGCTGGTGCGGCTGGGGTCGTTTCTGTCGCGAATTGTTCCTCCTATGTGTTTTGCAACGAGTGGTTGTTCCTGCGTGCGTAGTTCTATGCGGTTCTTGAAGCTGTGGTTGCAGATCGCATTGGAATGGCTGCATGAATGTTGCATGGGCTATGTTTTGGGGAGGAAGCCGGAGCACGAAACCTTGTGTTTTTCCGTGTAAAGTGGCTGCAGCTGGCGATGAAAGGTACCTCGTCTGTGCGGCGGGTGCGGCTGGGGTCGTTTCTGTCGCGAATTGTTCCTCCTATGTGTTTTGCAACGAGTGGTTGTTCCTGTGTGCGTAGTTCTATGCGGTTCTTGAAGCTGTGGTTGCAGATCGTATTGGAATGGCTGCATGATTGTTGTCATTTGGTGTTGCCATGCGCGTAGAGAGATGCGGGTTAGCGCCGTGATGCTTCGAAACGCATTATAATGGATGCATCCAGGCTGCGATAGTGATTTGCCAGCAGATTTTCGCAATTTTGGCGCTAGTAATTTTCCTTTTAAAAATCCTTTTAAAAAGTGCTTCAAAATCGTCTTTTTTCTGCTTTGGCGTCGAGATCCGGTTTTGGAGCTGCAATTTCCGACACCATTGCGCATAGTTCTATTAGTGTTTTGCAACTCAGCCTCTGCAGATCGCATTGGAATGGCTGCGTCAAGGTTGCTTGGTGCCGCTGCTGCATGCGTAATACTACTGTCTTTTGCAGCTGAAGATCGTAAATCGTATTGGAATGGCTGCATCAAGGCTGCGACAGTGATTTGTCATCAGATTTTCGCAATTTTGGCGCTAGTAATTTTCCTTTTAAAAATCCTTTTAAAAAGTGCTTCAAAATCGTTTTTTTTCTGCTTTGGCGTCGAGATCCGGTTTTGGAGCTGCAATTTTCGACACCATTGCGCATAGTTCTATTGTGTTTTGCAACTCAGTCTCTGCAGATCGCATTGGAATGGCTGCGTCAAGGTTGCTTGGTGCCGCGGCTGCATGCGTAATACTATTATTGTCTTTTGCAGCTGAAGATCGTAAATCGTATTGGAGTGGGTGCATCAAGGCTGCGACAGTGATTAGTAGTAGTACTGGGAAGTGATTCATGAAAGCTTAAATGACATATGAGAAGAGATGAGAAGAGATGAGAAGAGATGAGCTGGGATAAGGTGAGAAGGGCTCAGATGAGATGAAGTGTGGAGTGTGAAGAGTGCAGTGTGAAATGTGGGGCGTGAAGAGTGCAGTGTGAAGTGTGAAGTGTGAAGTTTGGAGTGTGAAGAAAGCAGTGAGGAATGAGAAGTGTGAAGTGTGGACTGTGAAGTGTGAAGTGTGGACTGTGAAGTGTGAAGTTTGGAGTGCGAAGAGTGCAGTGTGACGTGTGAAGTGTGGAGTGTGACGTGTGGAGTGTGAAGTGTGAAGTGTGGAGTCTTAAGAGTGCAGTGTGAAGTGTGGAGTGTGAAGTGTGTAATGTGGAGAGTGAAGACTGCAGTGAGAAGTGCGAAGTGCGAAGTGGAGCTTCAAATGTGACATGTGAAACAAGACACCAGTTTTGCAGAGTGCACGCGCGCACGGGCTTGGCTGGCGCACGGCGCAGGCAAGTTCTATAGATGAGAAAGGTCTTATGTATATCTTTAGGGCAACTTCCGCCCCGCCTCGTGCGGGTACTACTGGTATTGTTATAGGTATCATAAACCATAGTTATTGGTTAGTTATGTGCATCAACTGAACGCGATTTCGTTAACGGGGGCCCCACAAAAAGTAGGTATTAAAGATAGGTAGCCCACCAAGTAACTCAATCAATACAAAGCTTACGTATCCCAGAAATGGATTGGTAAAAAAATAGGCTGGCTAGGCTAATTTATTCGACATCGCCAGAATTCATTTAAGTAAATGCGCCATAGCCTTTTTGCTCATACCAACTTTCATATATCTTCCATAGTTGATAATTTTATGGTTATACCAATTTTTGATCTTTCATAGTTGATAATTTTATGGTTATACGACCTTTCATATCTTTCATAATTGATACTTAAAAATGTTCCAATAAGTCTTTCCAAAAACATCACCTACCCATTGGGACCCGCCATGGAGGATCAACAGCTGGAGATTTCCTAAACTAGGGTTACCCCTAAATCATCCCCAATAGCTGGATGGTTTTGCGAATGGAAAATCCGTTGAAAATCCGAATAGAGAATCGATGATGAACAGTGGTACCCCCATTTTAGGAACCCTCCATACATCGAACTAGTTAGATGGGGAAACATCAAGCAACAAACATGACAAACATGGTATACGTTGATGCAATTTCACGCTGCTCGACTGTTCTTTCACTTTTTGGGCACCTCTGTTTACATGCCCACCAAAAAAAACAAAAACATAAGTGATAACCCAAAACCCCTATGGAGTGACCGCCTAAAAAAATCAGTGCGAGGGGGAAGTTGATTTATAAACCGTATGAACTAACTACGATAAAGCCAAGTGAAACTTGTTCTAAAGCAACTGAGCCAACGGACTGGGGTTTGGTTCGATCAATCCACTATAGAATCTTGGTTGATGTTACCGTTACACCACCAGAAAAATCACGATCGATTCGATATATCTAGCATATCTAGCATATCTAGCATATCTAGCATAGACCCAACGGCTCACCGGCTCACCTACTTGGAACCAACTTAGCCAGCACAAATCACATACCCTAACTACAGTACAGGCCCAGGGGTCTGCAGCGCATCGGCCGGGTATTCCATGCTGAAGGGCCCTTCAGGGCCCTTCAGGTGCACCTGAACTGGTCGAGACGCCCATCGACTCACGAAGTTGATATAAGTTGATGGTAGATGTCTGGGCTTCGCAGCTTCGCAGGTTCGCAGCACTCGTTCGCGCTCGTTCGCAGAGCCAAAGTCCAGCTGCTGCTGGATGCCCGCTACCCTGAGGTGTCAATTTTTTGAAAACCCACGGGACCAGAGGTTTTAGTCCATGTTGAGAGGGCTGTTTCGTATTGCAGCTTTCCGATTTCGCAGTTTCATGGGGTACCCTAAAAATGGCCCATAGGCAAATGTATGGGTTAAGCCATTTTTGTTTAGGATATCGGGGAGGACCCCGATCACCAGAAAGTTAAAAAATAGTTGCTTTCTTCGAGGGGTGATCCTTCTCAAGTCTCTACAGCATGACTTCACTCATGTACTTTGTAAAAAATAGAGTAGTGACTCGGAGTTTCCAGGATTGAACGATTTTTTGTGAACTTAACTAATTCATGGGGATTGGTAGTCTCCAGGAATCAAACGTGGCAATGGACAATTCACCACTGAAGTCACCATTAAAACCTCCATGTGTTGATAACCAAAGGGTAATTAATACCTAGACCCTCAAGTCATCGACCAAGGTAGAGCCCCCTGACCTTCTGTCTGTTGGTCTATGAATAACATGAATGCTATAGGAAATATCAGAAACCATTGCTCCTCCTAGTGATAAACCTATCTGATGCTATCTGTAATTCCGTTTTGTATTGGATCAGATCTATTCATTTTTGAGGACCCATTGAAGAAAATGATAGTACCGTATTAGGGGAATGTCCTCACTGGCAAACACCAAATAGTTGGGACTGCACTGGCTAAGTTTACCATGAATAGTGGGAGAGGGAACACACCCTAAAATGTGTGTTTTTTCCAATTTGGAAACTGTTATCATTTGCTTACAATGTCTGGATAGAATCATCGACATAAATGGCTAGAAAAATGTGGATTTCAAAGGACGGTCATGAAAATATAAGACATACCCCATGTCCGGATGAACCCGTACATCAGCAAATTGTGGGTTAACTGCAAAATATTGCATATATATAATATATAAGAATAATTCATCACCTATGGCGTGTTTGGTTTCAGGTGTTTTTTTTCGCTGGTAAAATATGAATTTATATATGCCCATTTGGATCCCTAGTTTGAATCGTTGATGCGTGCGTATATATATATATACATATGAACATATATATATATACATATGTATATACATATATATATACATATATATAAATACATAATATATATATACATATAAATATATATATACATATATATAAATACATAATATATATATGAATATGCAATATTAATTTCCTCATAATCTTGTTGGCTACCTAGCGTTCTGTTTCAAAAAACAATCATTGTTAATTAAATGATATGCCCTTTGAAAAAATACGATGTGTAATCGTGGAAAAACCTGCAAATTAAAGTTGAATCAAGTTGAATCCTCATTCAGTAACTTATGAACTTTGCTTTGTTTAAGCCTGAAACGTTTGCTTGGATTTGCTGCCCCCGCAACATATTCTTCTTTACATCTCCCCAATAGATTCAAAGATGCTCCTCATGGGATTCTCTAAAAAAATATGATGGCCTAGTACATCATTTTCCAGATTAAAGTTGCCATAAAATAGGGTACACTAACCATGTTTCAAACAACCCAAGTAAATATTGTATGATATTTTTGCGTTAATGTGACTTACATCATCTCCAAAATATCCACCATGTGGAGGTTTCCATTTTTATGGGGGTACCCCCAGTTCTCATCCATTTTAGATTGGGATTTTCCATTATAAACCAGCAATTTTGGGGATCCACCATTTATGGAAACCCCAGTTGGTAGGTGGTTTATCCCCTTCTATTGGTGGTTTATCCCCTTCTAATCCCATTATTGCCAGTGTTTCATAGGTACCTAATAATTTCCCAACAAGTGCAGGATTTTGCAACCATCCAAAATATCCACCATGTTTCCATACTTTCTATACGGGAAAACTGAAAACTCCTCGCTAAACCGAGCAGCCGAGCGCAGGGCATACAGGCCTGGACCTCCAGGAAGTCGGCTCGACACCTGGGGGGTGATCGGGATGATCCCTGGGGTTCCAATGGAGGATTCCCAATAGCTGGATGATCTGTAATTCACTGGATTGGTTTCTGTCGGAAAATCTACACAGGAAACCATGGTTTTTACCATCAAATAAAAAGGGCTTTCCGGTGTAAATTTTCACATCATCCAATTCTATGAGTAATAGAACATCCTATTAAATATGGATGATTTGGAGGTACCCCTATGGATTGGTGGGCGCTCCGTTTCTGTTTCCCCTATGTTTCCATTAGGAAATATGGGACCTGACTGCAGATTCAAAACGGATGAACAAGGGTACCCCCATGGATTGGAAACCTTCATATTATGGACTCGAGAAGGGGTGACACGAAAGGTAGTTGTGTCAGACGTTATAACTCTGATTGTCGTTGTGATGTGACTCCAGCTTGGGTGGTTCATGAACCGTGGACGGGCATGAAACTGGACATTCATAGCTGAACGTTGATATCTGGATCCGAAAAGAGGGCACCCCACGATTGCCATGGTTGATCATCACTTAGTCTATTTAAAGAGCCATTTGGAGGTATATTGTCTGACACACGCATCGTGCGGGGGAAAAAAAAACACGGTCAGTGTTAGCACAAACCCCAAAGTCGCTTTTGCGGTACCTATGGATGCTCGAACCTGTCACTTTCATCGCACCGTTGGGTACGGGGCAAATGGATGTCGAAAAATCCGAATTGCAAGTCGAATGATGATGACGATGATGATGATGATGATGGTGATGATGAGGATGATGACGATGATGCTGATGATGAGACACTACGAAGGGGCTGCTGCGTGAAGAGACGCACAAGGCATGTGACGAGAGTTCACTTGGGGGGGGCATGGACCAGGACATTCAGAGCAGAGCGGAGATATCTGGATCCGAAAAGAGAGCACCCCACGATGCCCATGGTTGCTCATCACTTAGTCCATTTAAATAGCCATTTGGAGGTATACATTGTCAGACACACGCATCGTGCGGGGGAAAAAAACACGGTCAGTGTTAGCACAAACTCCAATGTCTCTTTTTGCGGTACCTATGGATGCTCGAACCTGTCACTTTCATCGCACCGTTGGGTACTTGGAAAATGGATGTCGAAAAATCCGAATGTCAAGTCGAATGATGATGGTGATGATGAGGATGATGATGATGTTGATGATGATGATGGTGATAATGACGAGACACTGCGAAGGGGCTGCTGCGTGAAGAGACTCACCAGGCATATGGCGAGAGTTCCCTTTGCGGGGGGGGAGGGGGGGGCTCTGATTGTCGTTGTGATGTGACTCCAGCTTGGGTGGTTCATTGACCGTGGACGGGCATGAAACTGGACATTCATAGCTGAACGAAGATATCTGGATCCGAAAAGAGGGCACCCCACGATTGCCATGGTTGATCATCACTTAGTCTATTTAAAGAGCCATTTGGAGGTATATTGTCTGACACACGCATCGTGCGGGGAAAAAAAAAACACGGTCAGTGTTAGCACAAACCCCAAAGTCGCTTTTGCGGTACCTATGGATGCTCGAACCTGTCACTTTCATCGCACCGTTGGGTACGGGGCAAATGGATGTCGAAAAATCCGAATTGCAAGTCGAATGATGATGATGATGATGATGACGATGATGATGATGGTGATGATGATGATGAGGATGATGAGGATGGTGACGATGATGCTGATGATGAGACACTGCGAAGGGGCTGCTGCGTGAAGAGACGCACAAGGCATGTGACGAGAGTTCATTTGGGGGGGGGATGGAACTGGACATTCAGAGCAGAGCGGAGATATCTGGATCCGAAAAGAGAGCACCCCATGATGTCCATGGTTGCTCATCACTTAGTCCATTTAAATAGCCATTTGGAGGTATACATTGTCAGACACACGCATCGTGCGGGGGAAAAAAACCGGTCAGTGTTAGCACAAACTCCAATGTCTCTTTTTGCGGTACCTATGGATGCTCGAACCTGTCACTTTCATCGCACCGTTGGGTACTTGGAAAATGGATATCGAAAAATCCGAATGTCAAGTCGAATGATGATGGTGATGATGGTGATGATGATGATGATGTTGATGATGATGATGGTGATGATGACGAGACACTGCGAAGGGGCTGCTGCGTGAAGAGGCTCACCAGGCATTTGGCGAGAGTTCCCTTTGAGGGGGGGAGGGGGAGGGCGGGGGGGGGTCCCTTTCTCCTGGTCGTTCAGGGATAAGGGGTCCAGCCCGCCCCTTTGCTTCGCCAAGTAAAACTCAAGGTAGCCCGCTAGGAGGCTACCTTTCGTGATGTGTCTGAAAATGGTCAGAAAAAACCCATGATATCTTGTGATTGTTCATGGGAAAATGATGGTGCACCAGAAAAATTAAAGAAATACCTTATTTGCAGACACGCCCATAATTATATAATATACATATACCTGTATATATATATGTATATATATATGTATATATATATGTAGTAAGGCGTAAGGAAGGAAGGAAGGAAGGAAGGAAGGAAGGAAGTGCACCTTCGTTAGAATCTAGAGACCCTCACCTGGCAGGTGGGGAAAAAGTAAATATTTTGGGGGTTCCATAAATAGGGGTACCCCAATAGCTGGATGGTTTATAATGAACAATCTTATTAAAATTGATGATTTGGGGGAACCCCCATTTCAGGAAACCTCCATATAATTGTATATTATCCCAAAACGATAGAAACGTGATCTACCACTATTTTAGTGGGATTCTACTTTTCTATAATTGTGGGGGTTGCTATCTACTTCAGGATGACCATATACATATATATATATAATGTATAGCAATCGCCGAAAACGTTAAACAATCCTGAAAGCACGTTCCGGCATCTTCTTTAAGGTTGTTATGTATACATGTATATATATACATATATATAATATAGAATATGTATATATAATGTATATATAATGTATATATAATGTATATATAATGTATATATAATATATATATATAATGTATATATAATATGTATATAGTATATATACATATGAATTTGGGATGTAACTCAATGTCCAAGATCTATGGAATACGTTTTGTCTATTCATATGATATAGATGTTAGAATATCTTAAAACAAAGTCTCTAACTCAATTGGTGTGTATATTATAATATATGCATACGGTACCCCCAGAAGAACCTACCATTTTTATCATTGTATTCCAAATGTTCAATTGATTATGGTTGGGATTATGGGGTGACGTTTATTCTATACAATGTGTATCTAATCTATCCGGGTAAATTATAATACTTCACTAACCTGAATTAAGGATATTTGGGGATGATTTCCCTTGTTAACCATGATTCCAGTGAGGTCGCAGTGAGGTCGTTATAATTTACCCAGATCTATATAAGCCAAACATCTGAATAACATTTGATCATTGCAGATTATTGGTTTGATCAGGAATGCCGAAACAAGGACACATGGAGTACATGAAGGGGCAAAACTCAGAGGTCCAACCCCAACTTTGGAAAAACATATCATATCGAGAGAAAAACAAAGAAAACAACTTAAAACAACACGCGAGAAACAATTATGAACAGCATGTTCAGAGACTCTTTTTTTGTACCCCAACCAGAGATCTAGTACCTCCAAATTTTGGGTGGGCCCCTTTTTTGTGTTGCTTTTGGTTCTCCAAGGAGAGCGTATTTGTTCCTTTGTTTTTATTTCTGTTCAGTCTGGGTTTTCTATAGACTCATCGAAAAGTAGTTGATTTTTTGTTTTGTCTATCTTCGTCCTGCGCAATGAAGTTGAACAGCTGCTTGCCAACAGACTCCAGCAGCTTGTGATGTTGCCTTATTCTGCACATGCTTTCGTTTCCTGGACTCCGTAGCTCTGTTCGTGATTCACCCCTTCCATACCCTGATCTTAAAACGAATACTACAAATTACTCTACTTCGTGTGATCCCCACCATGACATGTCAGGACGTATATTTGGACATATATTTAGTATATTCTGACATCCTATCTGACATATATTCTGGCATATATTCTGGCATTCTATCTGGCATATATCCTGACATTCCCCCTGGCATTCTATCTGGCAGTCTATCTGGCATTCTATCTGACATATTTTCTGACATTTCATCTGACATATATTCTGGCATTCTACCTGTCATTTATTCTGACATATATTCTGGCATTCTATCTGACATATATTCTGGCATATATTCTGGCATTATATCTGACATATATTTTGGCATTCTATCTGACATATATTCTGGCATATATTCTGGCATTATATCTGACATATATTTTGGCATTCTATCTGACATATATTCTGGCATATATGTTGGCATTCTATCTGGCATTCTATCTGGCATTCTTTCTGGCATTCTTTCTGGCATTCTATCTGGCATTCTATGTGGCATCCTATCTGACATTCTATCTGGCATTCTATCTGGCATTCTTTCTGGCATTCTTTCTGGCATTCTATCTGGCATTCTATCTGGCATCCTATCTGACATTCTATCTGGCATTCTATCTGGCAGTCTATCTGACATTCCTACATGAGGTCCGGCAGGGAACACTGGGCGCAGATGGTCGTGGTTGAGGTCCGGCAGGGAACACTGGGCGCAGATGGTCGTGGTTGAGGTCCGGCAGGGAACACTGGGCGCGGATGGTCGTGGTTGAGGTCCGGCAGGGAACACTGGGCGCGGATGGTCGTGGTTGAGGTCCGGCAGGGAACACTGGGCGCGGATGGTCGTGGTTGAGGTCCGGCAGGGAACAATGGGCGTGGATGGTCGTGGTTGAGGTCCGGCAGGGAACACTGGGCGTGGATGGTCGTGGTTGAGGTCCGGCAGCGAACACTGTGGATCGCGGGTCGCAGTTGAGCAAGGACGACGAGGACGACGAGGACGACGAGGAGGACGAGGAGGAGGAGGAGAGGAGGAGGAGGAGCAGGAGGAGGAGCAGGAGGAGGAGCAGGAGGAGGAGCAGGAGGAGGAGGAGGCAACTGACATAAAATCTAACAACCCTCACCTGGCAGGTGGGGAAAAAAGAAAAACAACGATAGGTTCTCCATTCATTGTGGATGTCCAAATTAAAGGGAAAACTATAAAAATTACTCTACTTCGTGTGATCCCCACCATGACATGTCAGGACGTATATTTGGACATATATTTAGTATATTCTGACATCCTATCTGACATATATTCTGGCATATATGTTGGCATTCTATCTGGCATTATATCTGACATATATTCTGACATTCTATCTGACATTCTATCTGGCAGTCTATCTGGCATTCTATCTGGCATTCTTTCTGGCATTCTTTCTGGCATTCTATCTGGCATTTATTCTGACATATATTCTGGCATTCTATCTGACATATATTCTGGCATATATTCTGGCATTCTATCCGGCATTATATCTGACATATATTTTGGCATTCTATCTGACATATATTCTGGCATATATGTTGGCATTCTATCTGGCATTATATCTGACATATATTCTGACATTCTATCTGACATTCTATCTGGCAGTCTATCTGGCATTCTATCTGGCATTCTTTCTGGCATTCTTTCTGCCATTCTATCTGGCATTCTATCTGGCATCCTATCTGACATTCTATCTGGCATTCTATCTGGCATTCTTTCTGGCATTCTTTCTGGCATTCTATCTGGCATTCTATCTGGCATCCTATCTGACATTCTATCTGGCATTCTATCTGGCAGTCTATCTGACATTCCTACATGAGGTCCGGCAGGGTCGTCGCGGTTGAGGTCCGGCAGGGAACACTGGGCGCGGATGGTCGTGGTTGAGGTCCGGCAGGGAACACTGGGCGCGGATGGTCGTGGTTGAGGTCCGGCAGGGAACACTGGGCGCGGATGGTCGTGGTTGAGGTCCGGCAGGGAACACTGGGCGCGGATGGTCGTGGTTGAGGTCCGGCAGGGAACACTGGGCGCGGATGGTCGTGGTTGAGGTCCGGCAGGGAACACTGGGCGTGGATGGTCGTGGTTGAGGTCCGGCAGCGAACACTGTGGATCGCGGGTCGCAGTTGAGCAAGGACGACGAGGACGACGAGGAGGACGAGGAGGAGGAGGAGCAGGAGGAGGAGCAGGAGGAGGAGCAGGAGGAGGAGGAGGCAACTGACATAAAATCTAACAACCCTCACCTGGCAGGTGGGGAAAAAAATCCCCGATGCAAACCTATGACATGTGAATACCCAGTTTTCTGATGATGAATCTCCATTGGTTCTTCAAGCATCAATTCCTACCACACCTACAATTCCAAAAAGTTCTGGTTATACATACATTACATATGTATATATATATATGTATATATATATATATATATTCCCATTGTATCCCCATAGCCCCAAAAAAAACACCATTAAGCTTGACGTGATACCCCATCAATCTATAGTGATATCCGGAGTTTCACCCTGTTTCACCGCGACCTCCAAAATCTCTAAGACGCTCTGCCAGGCGGAGGAACGCTCACAGGCAGAGGCCTTGGCGGAACATCATGCTGGATCGATCCGATTTTCTGATGAAAAGCATTGGAAAAACCCTTGGGCAGTTGGGATGTACATTTGAATATGACAGTATTGTTGGTTGATGTCTGTTGATGGTTTTCCGGGTGATGTTCTGATTTTTTTTGGATGTAATAATGTACCATTTTGTTTGTCTGATGTTTTTTTTCAATGTGTTGCTTTGTTGGTCGTTTGGTTTTGATAACGGATTGGGATATGGGCCTACAAATAGGCCAAGGGTGACATGTAAATCATGGTACCCCAACCAGGAAACATGTTCTATCAGTTTTAAACCGACCTACAAATCTCAATAGCTACCACAATGGGTTAACGTATCTATTCTATCCAGGTACAGAGGGTACAGTAAATCCAGCAAATTAGTTAGAGAATTGTCAAAGGCTCGTCGAAGCATGTCGAAGCAGATTTAAATCAACCGATACAAGTATATATATATATTGATATTGATATCATCCAGGTACGTCTACAACGGTTCGATTTTGGGTAGTCTGACGTCTGAAGTCTGACTCAGACAGTCTGAAGCAAAGTCTGAAGCAACAAACTAATATGTAAAACTGTACAACTAATATTGGCATATAATGGCGATAATGAATGGGAATGGCGACGATGAATGGAAATGGCGATAGTGAATGGGGACATGGCCAACAGAGAAATATGTGGATATGTCGACACTGCGAAATATCAAAGAAAATATCATATTGCTTGGGAGGTATTTGAAATTAGATTCAATGTAGTGACTATTAGCAGGAGCAAGACCTGGTAGCCACCTGCTGAAAACATTGGCAATAACTATGGGAAAACCCATACAAGACAGCTTTCCATACGTATGTTTGACAAAATGTTTAAGGATCATTGCTTAGTGGACTCTTTCTTCCCCCATTGGTGTTCGATATGCCCCTTCGATGTTTTACTCACCAGAACTATGATCAGCATGGATTAGTGATATCACACATGCGCAGAGAAGCTGAGCAGAGCAACAACTGCATAGTTGTGCAGTGATACAAATACGGGGATGTCATAAACAGATACATACACAGGGGAAAACTGGTATGCCATACATTACAGTACCATACACATTCACACACCATCATTCACTTATGATTGGCGTGGTGACATGATAAAAATAACAGGGCGCCACGCCAATGTAACATATCCCCCGGTTAGAAAATTGGCCCTGCATGGAACCCCATATGTTTTTGACAATGTCCATATTTTCGGGAGAGAAGTAGTCAGGGGGAACTCAGCAGTGGCGCACCGAAGAACTGGAATGTTTCTTGCGCTCAGGGTATGGTCAAAATTCACCCAAGAATTTAATCAGATTTGGCGGATTGGGGAATGGTCCAAGTTTTTTTGGTGAGGATCAGGGTATGACGGTATCACCCCAAGAATTGCCATCCTGATAGGGAAGTTTAGTGGGAAAAACAATGTCATAAACCATTCTCCAGTCATCACTATTTTTATAGGTGGTATAAACTCACCATTCCCAGTCATGGGTGGTTTATGGCATTGTTGTTTTTTTTTTAACCTCGGTATTATACATATATATATATATATATCTTATCTACCCTCTGGTAAACTAACATAACATAACTACGGAAAATCTCAATGTTTAATGATTTTCATGGGAAAATCAACTATTTCTATGGTTTTACCAGAGGGTATCTCACCATTCATGTTTTCAAAGAAACATCTGAAACCCTGCGACCTCCCAGCCCCGTCTCAAGGGGCAACAGCTCCGAAGCTCTTCTCATCTGGCGGGCAGCCCACCAGCTTCTGGAGCAGCAAATGGGGCTATTAAAACCATAAAATGTGGATATTTTGGATGGTTGCAAAATCCTGCACTAGTTGGGAACTATTAGGTACCTATGAAACACTGGCAATAATGGGATTAGAAGGGGATAAACCACCTACCAACTGGGGTTTCCACAAATGGGGCACCCAATAGCTGGATGGTTTGTGTCATGGAAAATCCATCTATCAATGATTTGGAGGTACCCCTATTTTAGGAAACCCTCATATAAGGGGGTAACAACAACCGGGTGTCCTATAAAAACACCTACATTTACTAGGTTTCTAAAAAAAACATCCCCGGGGGGCCACCTAGTGGGGATGGGGACTAATTCACAATCTGGGGGTTTCCTAAAATGGAGGATCCCCAAGTCACTCTATGGTTGTTTCAATACTAAGTTATGATCTAATCTTGGATGATTTTGGGGGTAGCCCTATTTTAGGACACCTCCATAATTTGTCAACTGAGTTGGGTTTTCGGCTTAAGAACCAGCCTCATGAAATATTATGATCTTACAATCCCCCCCCCGCCATGAGTTGGGAGTTGTCAAGGAAATGAGGATAGCGACTTGGATGTTCCCCGAACGAGGAAGTGAACAGGAACGTGGTGCTGTGGACATCTCATGTTTCAAGGCCAAACATATGGCTTTCTCTGAAAATAAGGTAGTTCCAAAAACCCATTGTTTATCATATTGTTTGTTTATATTATATATATATATGTATAAATGGAAACACTGGGCCTTCAGGTCCTCCCTGCCATTATTTTTTTGGCTTTGGAAATGGAAATTCGGTATCCCCCAGTGAAAAGGGAATGTTAGTGGTCATCTAAAGTACAACATAACAGGTGAATTTAAGGGGTAGCCTATTTTCAAACACATATGTGTACATGCTTTTCTTGCCATTCTCCTGTTTGTCTTTCGGAATGGATTCTTCAGTTCTCCCGCTACAAGCAGCTCCCGATATTGCTTTACTTCACCTAAGATACCCGAGAAACAATTTCTTGGGATTGGGATATGATATGATATGATATGATATGCAACAACAACAAAAAATCAACCGATGTTTACCCTGTTCCACCATGTGCAACAACAACAAAAACAACCAACGTTTATCCCCGCCCCGGTGAACATATAAGACAAGACGCCAAGTGAAACTTCGCCTTCGAAAATACTGCCGAATACTGTTTTGTCGACTCAGCTCATCCCAAAACAATTGGTCTTTGGGTTCATCATCATCTGGCTGAACCATAATTATTCACATCATGCTGAAAATAGCTGAAATTTCTAAGGCCATTTGGGCTGCCCCTTAGTAAGCCTTACTCATCATCATTTCAGTGACGTCACTGTGAGGTCACTATAACTCAGCTATACTCAGCTATACTCAGCTCATGTTTGGGCATGGAAAATACGCAAGAAATGAATGAATCTGAAACATTCTGAAACCACCAACCCGGATGATATCAGTCCTGGAAGCCCTTCAATTTGGTGGACTTGCGGAAACCAAATAATGAATCACCCAAAGCAACATTGGAAACATTGCCTAGACATGGCTAGAACATACAGTAATCCAAATAGGACACCAGTGTAGGACAACAAGTAAAATCCTCTTCTTTACAACATTGGCCGATCCATATTTGGGATCTCAATCGTTTTCCAACGGTTCACATTCCGTTCCCAAATCCATTGCGGGTTATCCCGTTTCCGTGAGTAGTCACTACAGTTGGGTCCAGTTCAACCAAACTTAAGAATGATTTAAATCGTTATTTCTCATCATTTCCCACCCAAAAAAAAGCTCTTTAAAGCCACTCTTCACATGGGGGTTTTCTAAAATGAAGCTACCCCCCAAATTATCCAAGTCAATAGGCCATTTTATGTTAGTATTGAAACAACCATAAAGTGGCTTGGGATGGCTTGGGGCTTGGGGATCCCCCATTTTAGGAAACCTCCATTCTTCGAGAGATACCCAGAACAGTCTCCTCCATATGTTGCATCAGGTACAGCGCCTGCCGCCATTGACTTTCCTGGTGATGGTTGACTTGGTCCCTTGGTCCATGTTCAACCCTCGAAATCCCATAAAGTTACGATTTACCCTAGGGTAAACATACGAAAAGATCTGGAACATCTGCATTTTCAATAGGTAAATCATCATGTGTATAGCTACTATAGTTATGTTAAATAACCAGAGGGTATAATTTATGTACATTTTTATAGTTACAATTCATTGTCAGTATTCCCCAAGGATATAAGAGGTTCCCCGACATAGATCCAGTAGTGGGGGGAACTTTTGAAATCTCTTGAAGGAGATTAATGATAAATATGATAATAGATAAAAAATGTTGTGCACGTACCCCAAAAACATTGTCAATAACACTAAAAATGAATAAACATGACCTCTATAGCTGCGGTTGGGCATACCCATTTCCAGTGATGTTACATCACACAGCCCATATGTTTCCTATTCTTTGGGGGTGTAGTTTAACATATATAAAATAGATGTCCGCAGTATTCTAACCTTCGCCATTGGGGTTTGTCAAAAAATGGGACGACCCCCTTAAACGCTCAATTTGACGCGGAACATGATGCTAAAGCGGGGGGGTTGGGTTTCCCCTATTCAGACAAACTCATGTCTTCAAGAAGCTGAATCTGCGAACACACATTGGAGAGAATGCATCCACAGGTTCCTTGGTCGCAATGTATAGTTGGCAAGTTGGCAACTGAAAAAAAATGAAGTCGTCATCTTACTTCTACCGTCGTAGGGGTTCCATTCTGGATATCAAAGGCCTTTCCACACCAGATATGTATATATATTTATATGTATACATATGCGCGTTTTCTTTTGAATTATCTTATTCACCGTCACTGCTGGTTGTATTTGCCATCCTTGTTGGTTTCTGTTGCTCAATTCTCAACTTTTGTCCTGGTTGCTTCGCCCTGAATGGCAAACATAAATCAACAAATTGGTCTCTGATGTTTTGGGAACTGGGAATAGTTTAGGGGATGCCAGAATGGGGATATAATATGATATAACGGCGATATACTGGGGATATAGCCAAGCAACTTGACAACTAATAGGGATGTTCAATTTTGAATCATTCGACTATTCGACTGGTTCATCGACAAGGATTCCATGGATGATGATAATCCATGATAATCCCCTATGCTGGTAAACAGGCATTCCCTATCATCAAGCAACATGGCTTTAGCCACGGAAACTCCAGGACTGGCCTTTTTACACGCGTTGATAGCTGCATTCAGGCACAAAGCATCTCCTTGCCTCAGCGACGGCACTCGCAGTCACACCATTGGTTTCCCCCAAACACGACCAATTTTTGTTGGATAACCAATGGTGATAGGAGAAACTTTTTTTTGGCTTTGATATGACCAATATTTTAGTGATATCCAATCTTATTAGACAATCCTCTCTGAAATTTGGCTTTGGATAATAACTTGGAGATCATCTACAAATACAGGGATAACTTGGAGGATTCTCCAATGCCAAAAAGGACGACTAGAATTTTCACTGATAGATGTGGTGATTGTCCAATGCCTGATTTGATTACCAAAGGGTAAGCCGTGATATATATATATATAAATACATGAATAAATAAATAAATAAATAAATCCATAAATAAATAAATAAATGAATGAGAGAAACATCTGGACCTGGATATCAATCGGTGATTTCATTCATAAAATAGCCATGTACGTCTATAATCAAGATATTATTCAACCTTGCTTGACTGTATTGGGTCCATGTGAACTCGGTATCAAACTCGCCCAAATTTATTGGATTTGATGATCTTTAGTTACAGTATCTCTAGACTCTAGTTTCTATTCATTTTAGATACCCTCTGGTAATTTAACATAGCTATTGAACATGGCCCAGTCGAAAGAGTGAGTTTTCCCATTAAACATTGTGATTTCCCATAGTTATGTTAGTTAGTTTACCAGAGGGTAAGTATCCCATATTCCCAGTTCCATGGTTTCCATGCATTCCATATGGGTGCCTGATTTGGCCAAGTCGCCGCACGGGCTTTCAACTGACTGCTGGATTTTTGAGATAAGAATCATCCGAATTCATGGGGTTGTATATCAGTGATTATATATATATAATACATATAACATATATCATAACAATATTATATATATATTATATTATATATTACATTATATATATATATTATATATATTATATATATTATATATATTAAATATATATATATATTAAATATATTATATATATATATTATATTATATATATATCATAACAATCCAAACAATGAATCATGGACTATATATTAGTGATTTATATATGATCGTCCAAAACAAAAGAAATGATTCATTGCTGACTGAATCATCTAAGCGAAACCCCATGAAACAGGCACCATCGTCCCGGGGATGGGCGATGTCCCTCATGTCGACAGATTTCTGTTGAGTCAGCAAGTCCAACAGAGGCCCTACGCCTCTTTTGAGTCAGGTGATATTTTTTAGTTCACAAAAAAAACTGGCATGAGTTTGGTGGATATATTTGGATAGTTCAAATATAACTGGCATTCATATATTTGATTCCTGGTTGGTGGTTTCAACCCCTCTGAAAAATATGAAAGTCAGATTGGATCATCATCCCAACTATTGGGAAAATAAAAAATGTTCCAAACCACCAACCAAATTATATTTGGATATTTAAGCAATGCCTGGATGGGGTTCCAAACCACTTAAGAAACAACTGGGCTGCCTTGCAAATCATACGAGGTGGTGCAGGGCAGTGAAATGTTTGCTGGTTTAGTCTTACCCATTTAACTAGTTGGATATATCTACCTTAAACCCAACAATTAGATACAATTAGGCCACTGAGTATTTCACCAAATCAGCTAACTAACTTAGTTATCTGAAGTTGGTCTCTTGGTTCTATTCCATTGATATCCATATCCAGAAATTATCCCATGATCTTCCACTGTTTCTTCACCGTACTCGTTTTCAGGACAAATAGGGGCACCACCTGGTACCTTACTCGCCGATCCCCCCCGGTAGGGAATCCCTGGGAAGCAGGACATCTGGGACTTCAACAAGTCATGCAGAAGTCCTAAGGCTCTCTGCCACTGCAGCCCCTGATGAATCCGGCCGGGTGTTTTTTATCCGGCCGTTTTTTTTTTGAAGACCAGGTGGATTCATAACTTGATGAACTCTTAGATTTTTGGGGATATATGGGGATATCACCACATATGTTGCAGCGTCGAAGTAGCCTGGGCTGTGGCAAATTAGTTCATGAACACCTGGCCACATTTCTCATAAGAAGCTGGAAACGTCTGCGCATTCCATTGATTTTGACTGATAGGCCTACATTTTCGTGTAAACCTGTACAATAATAGTGTTTCATTGGCATAGAGTCAACCAAGCTGCTAAAGGGATGAGCTACAAAGGCTCGCAGGTTTCTGAACGTCGAAGGTGTCGTGTCAAGCGACATCGGATCCATCTGGTTATGACATTCACAGTTCGCCATGGAAAATCCACCCATCTTTAATAGGTAAACCCAGGTAAACCATCTATTTCTATAGGCCATCTATACCATGGCTATGTTAGTCATAACCAGAGGATAAATATTCAAAATAAATCAGGCGATGTGTTTTTCTGCATCATCCAGCTTGGGATTCCCAGAACAAAAAATTGGCTTTGCATGGTCGGTGCAATGATTTTTTCGTGGACCCAGCTGATGGATCTGTATCATCCCGAGCTCTCCAAAAAAACATCAGAAAGATTCTCCAGTAGCTCTATTGACTCTATTCCTTTTTTTGATTCCCAATGATTGGTAAATTTATTGGCTGTGAAATTGAAAAAAATCTCCGATTGTTTTGGTTAGTTGGACCACCATTTAGGTCGTGCAGCAGACTGTTGGTCAGCATGATTCCCCGCATTTTTTTCCACCGCAAAAGATCGAAAGCTAAAATTACCACTATTTACTTGACGCTTCATCCTACTTAAGATTGCTTCAGTACAACGTGGGCCCCCCCAGTGATGTGAACGTTTGTTTAGATTCGCCCCAGTAACTAAGTTCGTTATAAGTACCATAAACCATAGTTATTGGAGTTATGTGCACCAACTTAGCTATCGAACGGGGGCCTCACATTGTAGGTAAGTTCACCCCAGTTACAAGTGGATTCACCGAATATCTCACACCACGGACATTCGTGCTACTTATGCTACTTAGGATTTCTGGCAGCCACCAGCTCTAGCCTCCGAAAAAAAAAAACGAAGCAGATAGTTTGCTGATTTGCCCCACAAACATCTGGTTGGTGGTTGAGCCCTACCCCTCTGAAAAATGATGGAGTGAAAGTCAATTAGGATGATGAAATTCCCAACTGTTTCTGGAAAAAACCATTAAAATCCATTCAAATCTATTAAACCACTATAATCCATTAATCCCAATATATGGAAAATCATAAAATTCCATGGTTCCAAACCACCAACCAGACATCCCAGCAAAAAGTTCGGGTTTCCATCAATTCCTCTGTGACCCGATGGGCCTGTTCCATGGCAGACATGGCAGCGCTGACGCTAATGACCTTGACTTCTGCCCCCATGTGATGTTGGTTTACAAACCCCATTATTATCGTAATCGACCAAAAATAAAAACTCTAATTTATCACTGCTATACTATAGGAGTTTGTTTCCCTATTTTTTTGGTGCTTGCTATACGAACAGACCCCGTGGTTTGCCCGGACTGCAACATTGAGGATTCTCTGTCGTCGAACATGAGAAGAGAAATTGCAGAAAATACTGCGTATACGCAGTGTTTTCTGCTTTTGGATTCAGAGTTTTCAGGTTTTCTTGGGTTTTTAGGGTTTAGGGTTCGTCGTCTGGTGAATACCAAAACACTGGCCCTGCGCAGGTTTTTGAGCATGTCGTTTTGGATCATATTCGAACTCCATTCTAACCTTGCGGGCCGCGCTTGCCCCATACACCCAACAGTTCACCAAGTGAAATCGACCAGCCAGCAACCAGCTATCGTGCCAGCCACCTTAGTAGGTGTAGTATCGAGAAGATGTAGCTGTAAAAATGTTAGGCATGGAAACACACATGTAATCACACTAATGATCGTACATATTCAACTGTGCATATACGACATATCAAATCATATATGACTATATGTAGATGATCTCGCGAGCATCTACATACAACCATACGGAACATATCGGTAGAAACATTTTTTTCACACATCGCCACATCGCCAAGGATTCAGTCCCTTAGTTGTCCACATCTAATTGGTCCATGTTCACTACCTGGGATTCGAATCATCAGTTCCAAAGCAAGCTAGTTTGGCATCAGGAATCGTAGGAGTCGAAGATATTTTTTACATACAGGAAATGATGATGAAATGGAACTAGAAATGACTATGAAATGGAACTAGAAATGATGATGACATGGAACTATCAAGGAAAAAAATAGTTGATAAAAGATATGGATATTGCCCATAAGTATATGGCTTATCAACATAGAAATCAACCACAAAAAATACGACCTTTGATGGCAGGTCTGGAAGCCTCAAATCCAATGGATTTACGATGATTTACGTGCTGTATCAAGCACAACCGGCATTTTTTGTGCCCTCCCCAGTTATGGTATAACATGGTATAACTATACTATAGTGATATAGTGGTATATAATAACCAACAGCCATAGTGATACAGTGATATAGTGATATATATGTGTATATATATATATATATATAATGTTGACAATTTATTTGTCTATTATATCTATAGTTTGGTGTAATATGTATATATATAACTATAGACTATAGATGTCATTAGCTACCATAGACATGAAACAAAAAGTTAACCCACCGACATGCTTACCAACTTACCTGCAATAGTACTTAGCTAACAAAGTGGAAACTGTATGTTCCTGCCCTCTGAGAGGCATTTGTGAGGTGTTCTCCTTAGCCCACACCCCACACAAAGCTGCATAGTCCATAGCCTATAGCTGAGTAGTGTCCGAAACCTATCGTAAACAGCTTGAACTATGTATTGTTTGTGTCCTCACAGCTCATGTGATCGAACCCCTGGTAGCTAAACTCTCAAGTTGTTGGGATTATCTATGCTGACTGCCACAGCTTTGGAAGATCCTCTGCTCGTGGACAGTGCAAGATACTGCTGTGTGGTTTACTATGGTTCTATATATATATATACATATATATATATATACATATATATATATATATACATATACGTATATATACTGGTTGGTGGTTTCAACCCCCCCTGAAAAATATTAGTCAGATTGGATCATCATCCCAACTATTCGGGAAAATAAAAAATGTTCCAAACTACCAACCAGTATGTGTATATATATATATCATATATATATATATCATATATATATATCATATATATATATATGTGCGTATCAAATAGACCATTTTACATGCATATGTTCATGCGAACGTAAATGGGACATTGATGGTATAGGGCCAACAATATATAACATCTGGGTGTGTCTGGAAACGAGGTATACCGGTATACTCCAAAAACGGCTACCAGGAATATATATGTATATATATGTACATATTTATATATGATAAACAGTGCGTGAAATGGGGTACCCTATTTCAGACAAACCCATTATGACTCAAATTCCAGGCCAAATGTCTTCTCCATGTCTCCCCCTCGAAGTTATTTGGGCAGCCACACATCCATCTGAAGATGTGAATCGCACATCTCCTCTTAGCAGTGGGCTGCGCGATAACACTACCTTTATAGCATCTATCTGTTCTGTGCAGGTTTTAGAAGACATATTCCATGGACAATCGAGTAGTGACTGGATAATAATTAATAATAATTAGCAATGCCGATTCAGATCATTCAATGATAATAATTAATAATAATAGTAGTAAGTAGTAATAGTAATAACAATTGATAACAGTAATAATAATAGAAACAATAGTAATAGTAACAATAATAATAGTAATGATAATATGGTAATACTAATACCCACAGACGCCGTGTGTTGCCCAGACATTAACATTGAGAATGTCGTGCTGTCGAATATATGATAATTATGATAGGAGAGATTGCAGAAAATACTGCGTATACGCAGTGTTTTCCAGTTTAGGATGCAAAGTTTTCAGAGCCTATAGGTTTTAGGGTTTAGGGTTTTAGGGTTTGGGGTTTTAGGGTTTTAGGGTTTTGGATGGTTTAGGGTTTTAGGTTTTAGGGTTCGTCGTCTGGGCAATCTCAAAACACTGGCCCTGCGCAGGTGTTTGAGCATGTTGAAGGATAATGTTTACACATGTTTAAACGCCATTTGAACCTTCCGGGCAACACACAGCGCCTGGCCGTACAAAAAAAGTAATACTACTGCTACTGAAAACAATTAATGATAATACATATATATATAGCATATAGTAATTATAGTAATTATAGTAGATATATATATATATAATAATCCTTCATTTATGACTGGGCATGTTCAGCCATTAGCCATTGGATGATTTCCGAGGTCTGGGGGGTATACCTACCCGTCATCATGGCTGGAAATCCCAATGGAAAATGAAGGTATATAGGAAGGGAAAAAACATGAAAATCATCTATAAAATGATATAAAATATTTCTGGTTGGTGGTTGAGCCCTACCCCTCTGAAAAATGATGGAGTGAAAGTCAGTTGGGGTTACCATTGCCTGTATATGGAAAAAAATGTTCCACCAACCAGGTTCATTATAAATGGTTTGATGGGAAATATCATCGATAAATAGCTGGTTTTTCGTTCGCAGGGAACATCTAGTTCCAAAAAAAAATCCCGCTGGTGTTCCATTTTATGGGCCATTTCGTTCTTGGTTTTTCGTTTATTGGCCAAAATTTTATGGGGCATTCGGAACTGTTCCAAAATTTTATGGGAAAATCTAGTTCCAAAATTTAGTTCCAAATTTTAGTTCCAAAATTTTCCAGCCAAGTAACTGAGAACCATTTTGGGTATCCCCCGAGACTGGTGGGTGAAAAATCCCCATGACTGTCGATCAGAATCCCAGCGGTGATTTTTACCCAAACTTCACATGTGTCGAGCAACGGCATTCAGAATATCTCAAGCGAAAACCAAGAAATTGAGATTTGAATATTATGAATTTTAGAATCTGAATATTGATAATAATATTGATATTGTTCTAATAATTCAGAATATCTAAATATTGTTCAATGAAAATGTAGCCATAAGAACAATATGATGATCTCAATGATCTCAATTTACAATTGTTCAATTGGATTCAATTGGGATTTTATATACCACATAAGATTGAGATCAACCCAAGTGTTCAATGAAAATGCAAAGCCAATGGAAACTATCATAAGAATTCGTCAACAAAAACGATGACAAGTCGAAAGCAATGATGAATGGAATATGTATAAGATATTGGTTTGTCAATAAAGTAGCCCAATTTTGATTGTTTTTCATTATCTTCGCCATTAAAATTGCCGAGTATGCCCCATTTTCACAACCAAATGGAGATTGTTGGTGAACTATTCCCATGCTGTCCCTATTGTATCACCATTTTCTCCAAATCCCAATGTGTGATACTTGATTCTCCATTTAATGGTTGAACATAGTTAAATCACCCATGGTTCTATAATTTTGTATACCACCATCCCACAGGGTTACCCCATAGTTAGCTAAGTTGGTGCAAATAAGTCCAATTTCACTATGGTTTATAAGTGATATATCGAACTAGTTAATGGTATTATAACCCATTTATAACTGAGGGGGGCAGCACCTTTCATGTTTCATTCCAAAAGTGACCAATCGATCTCCTAGGAGCCCTTTCCCCTTGTCCCTCCTGTAGCAAAGCACACACCAAGCGCCACTGGAATCCCTGGCACTGCACAGCTTGGTTTTATCGGAATGCGCTTAAGTATAATTGTTAATGTTTACTGATGTTTAAGGGGTTTATAGTATGTTAATGTATGCTATGGGTATATGTCATTAATTATCTTTGAATCTTTTTGATTTATGTTTGGTTCCACCGCTTGAAAGGATTCAGAATAGAACAGGTATGGGTTTCAAAAGAAACAATACCACCTTGTTATTTAACATAGCCATGGAAAATCCACCCATGTTTAATAGGTAAACAATAAATGGGCCATCTATACCATGGTTATGTTAGTCATAACCAGATAGTATCTACAGATTGCTTACAGGATCTAAGATGATCCATTGGCCGTGGATGGTGGAAGTCAATGGACGCAAAAAAGACATAAAGACCGACATCTGCAACAAATAATGACACGCCCCCTTGCTATGAGTTGGTTTATAAACTTCGTGAATACTATATAGACTCGATATATATATATATATGTATAGAGAGTATTAATTATATCTACATTCAATCCTAGAATTCACCTAGTTACTAGTTGTTTGAACCAACTTAGCTATGCTAAATTGGAGCCCACCTTGTATTAGACAAATGATCCATTTTTAACATTGTGGCTTTGATTGGGTCATCAGCTGCTAGGTTTGAAGAACCGCAGCATCGGAAGTTGCCATCCTTTTCTTTGCACGTACCTGATCCCTGGATTTCTTCCCAAACTTTTGCCGGACCTCCATTCTTGTTTCGTAAATCAGCACGCCTTTTTGGTTTGCACATATCTTTTTTTGGTTCTATCAAGATGTTTCTTGATGATAGGTCTATATCGCGTTCCCAATGTTGTGGGGTCGGTTAATGGGGATTCCCCTGTTGGACTATCACAATTCCCAATAGATTGGGTAGCATTATACTGGTTGGTTGATAGGGTTTTTCCTATTGGATTATTATAATGCCCAAAAGATTGGGTAGCGGGTAGCGGGTAGCATTATACTAGTTGGTTGATAGGACTTTTCCTATTGGATTATTATAATTCTACTGAAGCAGTGAACGCCATATAATTCCCAATATATTGGGTAGTATAATCCCCGAACTAATCATCAACCAACCAGACTTTTGAGCAGTGCTCAATTCTTTGGGACCCAAACTTTCGGCTCCCCCAAATGGCTCCGTTCGCCTCACCACAGGCATCAATGGCAGCATTGAAAACTGCAACGTTCGCCTCTAGCTGAGAGGTCCTCAAAGCTCGCCGTGACTGAGGAAAGTCATGGATATATAGTATAGACAACTGCTATATAATTACCTGCGGTAGCATACGCTCTAACTACAACTACTCACAATAATCATACTTAAGAAGGCAAACTATATCTAAATGTATATATAACAAATGAATATATATATATATATATATACTCCGAGGGTACATGCCCGAGGCGCATGCTTTACCACTTATTTGAGGCTCCGGTTTTGGGGCCTTGGGCCCACCTAGGCTTTGAGAAGAAGCGCCCCCAAAGCCTTAATAAAAGGCCTACTAAGGCATGACGTACAAATCGCAATGGCTTGGACGTGAAACTACTAAGCATATCGCGAAAAACTAGTAAAGCACCAGTTGCGAATCACATTGGCTTGGACGGAAAACTATTAAGGAGTTCATGAAAAACTACTAAGGCGTGAGTTGCAAATCACAATGGCTTGGACGCAAAACTACTAAGGAGTTCATGAAAAACTACGAAGGCGTGAGTTTCAAATCACAATGGCATGGACGCAAAACTACTAAGAATGTCTCTCAAAATTCAAGAAGAGAAGAAGATACTGTTTCTTTTATTCTTTGAAGCATTTTCTTAGTAGTTTTGCGGCCGAGCCAATACGAATTGCCAAATCGTCCTTAGTAGCTTTTGAACGCATTCTTAGTAGCTTTGCGGCCAAGCCAATGCGAAATGTGACACCGTGCTTAGTAGCTTTTGAGCACATGCTTAGTAGTTTTGCGGCCAAGCCAATACGAATTGCTAATTTAACGCTGCTTCCGCGTGATGTATGTGGATCTGCACGCGCAAAAATGGCCCCGCTCCCCAGGAATCAACGTTGCCACTCGCAAAAGCTAGTCTTGCTGCCTTTCCTGGTGTAGCTTTGCAGAGTGCGGAAGTAAGTCAACTTTGATATCTGGGGGTGCCGGGGGTTGCGCCCAGGGTCCTGTACACTGCCGCTGGCGGTGCGCATGTCTTGGCATTGCTTGTGGCAGTCATGTTTGCTGCAGAACAGCACGGGCATCCCTGCACCTTTTGAAACGTTCCTTTGGCTTGCGCTGCGACGCGGACCCATTTTTGGGGCTGTGGGCCTGCATGCTTTTTGCCTTCCTTCATTGCGTACCCTGCATGTGAAACCAGCCTCCTGGCACCAAGCGCAAGAAAACATGAATGGAAGGTGCAACCTGTCGCAGCTCAACGCACTCTTTGCAGAAGGCAAAACGCATATACCATGGGCCCAAAATTGGGACCACGCATTTGGAAGCTGGGCTGCTAATTTTAGTATTGTGGCCCCATTTTTGGGTCCAGAATCTGGCCCCTGTTTTGGGGCCACAAAACACAAGCAGGAGCTAGCCAATACGGGCAGCAAGTGTGCTACTGCCGACGCAAGCTGACAGCAGCACATATCCGTGATACTGTATATATATATTATGGAGATCTACCATGCTTCGTAGCCAGCACGGATCGGCACCTCAAGTCGTGTTGCAACAGCAGGGCCAATTCCCAGTTGCCTAGCGAAGCGTGGCGTTGCGCCTGGATGAAACAGCCTGGGATTTGGGTGAAAACCAACACAGGTGGATGGGCCAGCGAAATCCATTTTTCACCAGTTGAAAACGGTGGGAACAACATCCAAAAATGGTTGGTTTATCTGAAAATCCCATTAAAATACCAGTTGATAGGTGGTAAACATCCCATTCTTTTGTTTGGGTTTCAACCATCCTTTTGGTGATGCAGGATTTCGCTGGCCCATCCACAGTATGTGTTGATGTTCGCCCCAAAAATTCCAGAAATAGAATGAAACGAATGAAAAAAATGAAAACATGATAAGCACCTTCAACATCCTGACCTTTTTCCAAATGGATCACAGTGACCTTGTTCCATCGTTTCAGGTCACTGCATGAAGAGTTGTTGCAGGTTCCTTAGAGGTCAAGAAACCATCAACTTGGTAGATTCAGAATGGATCGGGGTGGCCCAAAAAAAGGTCTACAGTGCTGCAATAATTCACAAACCTGAGACAAGGCTATTTGGAGATGTGGACCCCAATCCCAAAAATAATTTCCGTTGTGACGTTGCAATGTGAGGTCGTTATAACTAACAATAAATGATACAAATAATAGATGGAGGTTTCCTGAAATAGGAGTACCCAAAATCATCCATTTTATATAATGTATTTTCCATGAAATAAACCATCCATAAATGGGGGTACCCCGATGACTTAGGAACCCCCCGTATGAATATGATCAATAATTTTTGGCCAAAGTTCAAGGTGATATCCAGGATCCAATCCTGTAGGAAACCGTTCATCAACCCTGCGCCCGGAAAAAAAGTTCAGCTGCACGCAGTTCTCTTAGTGGATTGGTTTTGTTGGGGAAATTGGAACCCGAAAGCTCCATGATGATGGGAAATTCCATGGGAAAATCTAAGGTTTCCGGTTTTGATGTTCCATTCCAATCCATTGATGTTCGGTGCCTTCGCGATTCATTGCTGCAATCACGCTGCTCAACGTGACGCTGTTCGGCTGTAGCTGCTGCGTGGTCATCTGCTCCTGCGTTTCAGCTTAAAAGTACCATTTATGGTTGGTATAGATTTATATTCATATTATTTTTTGTATTTACTATTCGTTTATAGTCTGTATATATATATATGATCGTATATATAAATTTGTCATTACCTCAGTATACGATAGTATATGTCTGTTGTCTTATTACCATTAGCATGTTGTTTGTTTGTACATGTTTGCGTATGTATAAGTTCTAGTAGTAAGTGTTCTACTTATCTATCTTTTTGGTGGTTGGATAAGGGTAATTCTAGCATGTTCTTGTTGCAAAATGCTGGTGAAAAAACTACTTTACTTCGTGTGATCCCCACCATGACATTTATACGTTTTGTTACTGGCAAATCTTCTGGCATTCTATCTGACATATCTTCTGGCATTCGATCTGGCATTCTATCTGGCATATCTTCTGGCATTCTACCTGGCATATGTTCTGGCATATCTTCTGGCATTCTATCTGGCATATCTTCTGACATTCTATCTGGCAAATCTTCTGGCATTCTATCTGGCAAACATTCTGGCACTTTATCTGGCATACCTTCTGGCATTCTATCTGGCATAACTTCTGGCATTCTATCTGGCATAACTTCTGGCATATGTTCTGGCATAACTTCTGGCATATGTTCTGGCATATCTTCTAGCATTGTATCTGGCCGTTGAGGTCCAGCGGTGCTCACTGAGCTCGGAAGGTCCCAGGTTGAGGTCCAGCGGTGCCCAGTGCGCTCAGACCCTTGCAGTTGAGGTCCAGCAGTGGCCACTGCGTGCGGAAGTTGGCGAAGAGCTTGGCGAAGAGTTGGCAAGGCGGAAGTGGACATGGAAGTGGAGGCAGAGGTGGTGGAGGAGAACGAGGAGGAGGAGGAGAAGAAGGAGGAGGAGGAGAAGAACAACTCTGATAAAATCTAACAACCCTCACCTGGCAGGTGGGGAAAAATCTTCATGATTTTCTGACTTTTCGTGATGTGTGTGATTTTGTAACAAAATTCAACCAATTCGTGGTATTTCGTGGTTCATAATGATTCACCATGGTTCATCATGGTCATCCACTCAACCGGGCTAATAAAGATGGGCCACTTGGATTGACCCAATCAGTGGGGCAAAGATTCACCCATGAATTCATGAAATCATGAAAGCGAAAAAAGCCAATCGCGCCTGTGCCCACCATTTCTGGCTCTCTGGGTCTGGAGAGTTTGATCCCCGCTTGACTCATATCATGAGGGCAAAAAAAAAGTATAACTGGTAATTTGAACCGCAAAATGCTGAAAAAATCGTGACCAAAAAGATCTTGAAACGATACATCCAGATTCTGATCCAGGACTTCCTTCAGTTGCATCCCCTGGTTCGGTGTATGGCTGACGGGGAGCCAGGAATGCAAAAAAACAGTGCTTCAAAACTCATTGTTCGCCATCAAAATATGCGTAACCTAATTACAGTAGGGTATACTTCATTTTTGGAGAAACCAATGTTATAATAAAGTTAAGACAATATAAAATAACATAGATAACTATCTACACGATCAGTATTATACCAGATCATACCACCAATGTTTGCAAGTTATTGGTATTACCATATATATACGCCATATATACCATATTACTTACATATTAGACCATAATATTGTGAGTATTACCCTCTGGTTATTTAACATAACCGTGGGAAATGGCCCATTTATAGATGGTTTACCTATTAGACATGGTGATTGTCCATGGCTATGTTAAAAAGCCAGACGGTACATCATATTGTACCCCAATCATCCCCACTCAGATATGATATAATACCATGATGTACCTGGAAATATCCAAAATATAATCATCACCAATAAGAAAAAATATTACTATATTGGGTAATTACATATAATCATCCCCACTCTCCGATTTTGCTACCCACTCACTTTTTTTGGTTTCCAGATGTTTCACTCCAAACTTCCAGGATCATCTCATCCATCACGGGTGAAAAAATTAGTCATCACCCTGCTTGGATGGGTAAATCTCCTACCCTCTGGTAATGTGAAACGTGAAATCGCTATGGATTTCTCAGCTAGCCATCTTAGACCATCTTTACCAGAAGCTATGTAAGGCTAGGCTTACCCTCTGGTAAACGTCTACAAAAAACGAACTGGAAAGATCCACCATTTTTAATGGGAAAATTCACGATTTCTATGGCTATTTTCAATAGCAAGCTGTTAAATTAAATTACCAGAGGGTAACTGACCTTATCCCATCAAAATAAGTGGCTAAGAAAAGACCTTACAAGGTGGTGCCCCCCAGTTATAAATGGGTTGTAATCCCATGAAAACTAGTTCGATATATCACCAACAAAAACCATAGTGAAATTGGACCAGCATCTGCACCCACCAACCAATCGCGATTTAGCGAACAAAGGGGCACCACCCTTTTTATGTTATAATTTATAATCCCAGTTACGACGATACGCCCTTGCGATCCGGGAGAAAAAACGGGTCTCCAGTAGCTCCACGACCATTTCCCATTTGCCGCCCTTCTCCTAAGACTTCGTGGGCATGGGGGGTTACCTTCCGGGGGACCTTGCCGTTTCTTGGGTGTGCCATCCAAAAATGTCATTTCAATGGGTCGTTTAACGGAAAAAATGTCGAGAAAATGTGACTATGACTGAGGACAATGGTGAGACAATGGTGATATTTCACCAAACATATCCATTTTTGAGGATCATACTATTCATTTTTGAGGTCCAATAATTTTGAGACATACTCAAATGATGAAGCTGAAACCCTTTCCCCAATTGCTTGACGATGAGCTTGGATGGCCTAGTTGAACGTTCATGGCAGTATTTTTCAGGGGTGATCAATGAAGTAGCAGAATCACCTAGGCTTACTGTGGTAAACACATCGCCATAAACCTCTAAATGGTGAAGCCGTGTCGAATTTGGGTCACCCATGGAATCTGGTTGTTCAACCTAAAATAGTTTGGATGTATGGATGTTCATCGCCCCATTCACATGTTGTTTCATGTTGTTTCATGTTGTTTCATGTTGTTTCATATGCTTAGGTAACTTGATCCATTCCCATGTCTTTTTGGTTGTTTTCAGAATGAATATATTGCTCGAAACACACACACACACCCGCACACACACACACCCCATCAACTTACAACGTGCGGCCCGGTTCGTTAGCTATATAAGTTGGTTTATAACCAGCTTAATGGGAGGTCTGATTGTCATTATCAACGCCATAGTTACCCTCCAGTTGGACCAACGTGGCAATGCTGGAAATTTTGGAACCAAATAACTATGGCCGCTGGAGGTTCATGGATTTCTAGCTGGGAAAATGATTGAACTAAGAGGGGGATTTTGCAGCAATTCATGTTTGATTACCAGAGGCTACATCAGATCAGCTATATCATGCTATATCGTAGGGAACTTTTCCATGATATATCAGCAAACCATGATGATGGATTGAAACCATTGCCAATTGTTTGATTTTTCCGGAGGGGTCGAGGCTCGGGAGGCTCGGGAGGCTCGGGAAGGCTCGGTCGCTGCCGGAGAAGATCATCTATTCAGCATGGTGAAGTGGTTCACCAATGAAATGTAGCAGTTGCTCCCCCCAAGAGGAAAATTCAATCCTGAAATAGTGGCAAAAAATGGTAACTAATGGTAAATAATGGTCAATTATGCCAATGAATAGTGGTAAATAATGGTAAATCTCAATCTGCTACTTTTTCTTAGGGTTACTATAGTTACTATACTCCTTTAAAATATGATGTGAGACCATGGCCGCAAACATCCATGAAATAAGAGCAAAAAAAACATCCATCATCCTACAAGCCTACCAGCCCAAGGTTTGGCCAGCCGTGCTGCTAAGGGTCACATGCTGCGATGGCAGTGCTGAACGCTACCACCTGAGAAGTTCAGCAGGGTACCGCCCATGTTTGAGACCGAATGGGTTGAGTTTTGTGCCGAAAATGCTAGAGTAATTCTTAAGGACAAATGTAGCAATTAAAGATTCTTGTTATGGCCAGCATCCGTTGCAAATTTGCAATCGAATCGCCACAAACAATAAGAGAGATAACCAATAGATAACCATTTTTCGGGCCCCGAACTCAACCGCAAATCAGACTGTGAGCCCACTTCCTAAGCTGTGGTGATTTGGTAGGTTGAGTCAAAAACCACACTGCGAGGTGGGTCTTTTTTTGTTTGGCAATATCAACTCAGTCATCATGTTTGTTGGATATGACATGATATGACTAAGCCATGACTCCAAACAGCATGGGCCATCATCACACAACCCACCATGCGTGTTGGTTTCATGAAGTAGTTTCATATGTTTTCCGATGCTTCCGAGACACTTCCTATTTGTGGGCTTCCTGACATGGATGTACCCCAATAATAGCTGGATGATTTATGTCATGGAAAATCCATGGGTGATGACTAGGGGTACCCCCGTGATTTGGAAGCCTCCATATATATATATATATATTTATTTATATATATACAGTAATACACACATGATAGATTTATATATCATTTGTTGGTTTATACCCTCATTATATCATCTTACTAAACCAAATGGATCCAAATAGTATGTATATGTTTCAATCCAAAACTCGGGGCCCCCGCATTGCCATCATCCACTGCACTGCACCGCATTTCCTGCACTGAGTGCAGAAATCCGGTTGCCACCAGGGCAACTAATTGTACCCATTTTTCAGACGCGCTGCAACAAAAAAGACACGAGTTTCTTTCTTCAATAGCTGCACCTTATCTTCTTTTATTTGTTGAAATTTGTACTGTCATATATATATATATATATGATGTATGTGTGTATTATATATATGTATAATGTATGTATGTATGTATGTATGTATGTATGTATGTATGTATGTATGTATGTATGTATGTATGTATGTATGTATGTATGTATGTATGTATGTATATACATTCCATTAGGCTCAATATATATATATATATACATATTAGCATATTAATATTATATATATATTTACATATCGTGACATTTGCATCTATTAAAGTACATTGACCTACTGTGAGTGTGAGTGCGAGTGTGAATGTGGAATGTGAGTGTGTCTCACACTTGGGACACTCCTTTCTTGTCCGGTGCGATTCGACAAGCTGGTTTGGAAATCGGCGAATGCAGCATGGTCTATCTGCAACAATTGCCCAAATAAAATGGCCATATATGGCCATTAAAAAAAAGTACCCTCTGGTAAACTAACATAACTATGGAAAATCACCATTTTTAATGGGTAAATCAACTATAAATGGACCATTTTCAATAGCTATGTTTTTGTTAACCTGAGGGTATTCCATTCCATGGTATTCCCATTCTAAGACAAACCCATTTTACTATGGCTGGTTGTGGCTGTTAAGAAATGGCTCCCTCGACAACTCTTTCCGTCGTTTCATCATCTTTTGTGAACCAGTCTACCACCGTTTCAGCGTTGAGAAAACTGGTAAACCACTGCTTCTGAAATGATCGTTGAAACAAAATTTCGAACTAATTATTGGAAACCTCAACTATCACAACTGATATAGCAAAACAACGTTAAAGAAAAAAGAACGTACGAACAACAAAATCTGGGGATCCTTGTTGGTCTTCCCCCAACCCAGTTGTCGTTTCCTCGAAGAGGTACAACGCCCGTGACCATTCGAAGGCTGAAACACCTCGGAGGTGTTAAACGTACCTCCTGTGATCTCGAAAAGGGTGATTTTTACATCCGAAATTGGCTGAGTTAACCACCAAAACAGTGATGTAACATGTTTTGACATGATTTGACATAATTTACCTAATAAAAAATGGAGAATTGACAGAATTGACGACTGAAGAAGGGAAACGGGGAAAGTGGAGATTAACCATTCACACATTTTCAAATGCATATGTAGTGTGGGAATATGTGGGAATATTTCACCAAGAATATCAATCAGGGTTTGGATGAAAACTGGTGGATGCCCTAAAATAGCCATTGTTGATGTATGGAAAACAAGATCATCAAAGTTTGATATCAAACAAAGCCATTTGGGAGCTTCCCTAAAATATGGCCCAAAAAAACATTATCATCCATTGTTATTTTCGGATGTTCCATATTCTAAACCCAAACTTTCACCTGGTTGGTGCTATCTATCCACATTTTCAGGAAAGGCCCATTTCGACAGAAGGGCCATGGGTTTTTTCTGCGGAAACGCTGTAGGTTTCGCTGGCCGGTTTCAGTGGATCCGTTGAAGGGGTTGCTTGGAAAACCCTATGGAGGTTTCTTTTAAAATGGGGGTAGCCCCTACATCATCAACTGGTGAATTTTCTTTCCCATTAAACATATTAAACATGGCTGGGAGGGATAAACTCACTGATGAACACGACTCTGTAGACGTATATCATCCAATAAAAAGACGAATTGAGCCAGGTCAGATATAGAAATTGGATGAAATTGGTTGTTGATACGTTGATACTGTATCATGTGATACAAACATATGACATATACAGACCAACAAAAAATGCATCCTTTCGTTGGTCTGTAAAGAGCAACTCCTCTAGTGCTCCAGCCCAAAAATGTCAGAAATTTAGGCCGACCCCAATGGGTTCAGGAACTTTGCCCATGAGCCCCGTGCCCAAGGTCCAATTCTCAAGGCCAATTCCAAATATTCCAAGGGATTACTGGTGGATTACTGAGTTACTGGTAACATCTGAGCTGCGCTTTTTTTTTCGATCAACGCCTCAGCTCTAGCAGAAACGTCGGTGTACTAAGTGGAACTACGACAGAACCAGCGATGTAAGCCTCGACTCGAAGGGATTGCGACATCAGGGGATTGATCGGGCATTTGTAGTCACCACCAGTTCGTAGGTTAACACCTCTGCCCCTTGCCAAAGTTCCTTACTAAAACCAAACTTTTCTCCCCTGCCATGGTGAAATTTGCTGATTGGCTAGAGCATGATTAGCGGAACTACTGAAGAAATACCACAGTAGGAATTGAGGATGAAAATGGATGAACATGGATAAAAGGTATGAAAAGAAAGAATGATTCAACATGACATGATTCAATAAGGCTCTGCGGCAGAGATCCTCAACACGAAATCGCCTCCAGAGACAGGACGATCAGTCCAGGTCTGCGCTTGAGCTCTTGGATCGCTGCGTAATCATAGAAGCCTTGCCATCTGCCCGCATCAGACCATCGTATGGTCTCACGGTAGAGACGTTCCTCTTTTGGATCTGTTTGTTGTAGCTTTCTTCGAGAGGTCTCAAAAACCGACGAATGTCGGCCCAAAAATTGCGCCCGAAAGGCAAACATCGGCGGAACAAGGAAGAAAATGGTCGCAAATACCGTCACCATCTGATTGAAATCATAGCCAAATGACTGGCACACCAGAATCACGTACCGCATCATAGGGACCATATTGTTCCCCAGATACACCGCTTTTGGAGGACCAGAATCAGGGGCAATTCCGCTGAGCTGGAAGATGCAATAATCACGCACTGACACGGTCAGTAAGTGCAAAAATAACAGGATCACCGGCTTTTTTGTGTGTGTTAAAAACCTGGATTCAAAGGTCGTAAGGATGTGCTTACGCACAGTTTACACGTTGCTTACGCCGCTGAGGATTTTCCTTACGCGGGAATATTGGTTTGCGCAAGGCTTACGCGGCACTTACGCGTGACCGCCCGGTTACTTAACGAAACATAAGGGGTTTTACAGCGTAGCTCATCTGATGCTAGCTCTGCTTCAATAACACTCATGATCAAAGATTTGGCACTGATTTCCATTCAATGCAAGCTACCTCTTGAGTTGCTAGGTGGTCATGCATACAATGAATGCACAGATAATTTTATGGCTAAGGCCCAGTAAGGCCAATCAAATACCCTCTGGTAAACTAACATAACTATGGAAAATCACAATTTTTAATGGGAAAACTCAGTATAAATGGTCATTTTCCATAGCTTTTTGTATGTTTACCAGAGGGTAATCATCCGGAATGTTTAGACTGAAAACCTGCGAAATAAGTCTCACGCTGGGATGGTCCACATCTAGTCAACTGTGGAAAATCACCATGTTTTACTGGGTAAATCAACGAACTAACTTTCTATGGCCATTCTCAATAGCAAACTGTTAGTTTACCAGAGGGTAGTAAGTGAGATCAGATCAATGGCCATTTTAGGATCCGATTGACTGGAGGCACCTTTTAATATTTATTTGCCTATTTTTCAGGGCTAAATTTCAGGGAATATCACCAGAAATATGGCCAAAAATATGGTACATTTACGTAGCTCCACGGTGCTCCATGTATTGGATCCTAAAATTCCGATCGATCTATGCCATGGTGAAAACTCCAAGCATGGCAAAAATGCGAAGAACCATCCCACACGGGGAATCCCAAATTGATGCTTAGATATAGAGTTTATTTTTTTTTCCATCCAGTTTGTTATCCCATACTACTGGATTGAACATCAGAACTGGGCAGTTCTGAACACACCAGTCATCGCATGTCAACCATCCAAGGGGCAAACGCGACACAAAGAAGAGTAGATGATCACATTGCTACGCACCTGGCAGCCATCGAGATCGAGTGATTTTTCGGATGGTGAAATCAAGGTGAAATCAGAAAGTCGAAGCATCGCTGTATGGTCACAGAATTACTATTAACTATGTTTTAACTGTCATTACATATTACTATATGTTAGACACATATTCTAAATAACAATATCACAATATCTGGTTTTGTTGTGGTTTAAAAAGAGTGTTATCGCTGAGTCGCAAGACGATGCAGTCTCGTCTCGATCAGGAATACTTCCGCCAACCAGATCATACCAGATCAATCCAAGAAACGAATGTCACTTTCCAAGCTCTACAATGGTCACTTTCAGTAATCGCTTTGATCTTGAAACCAATGGACTCCTGGATGATAGTACGACGATTTCAAACTCCTATCAGTTTTGCAAAGCAAGCGGTTCTTCAGCCAACTTCAGCCAACTTCAGCCAACTTCAACCATCAACCACTTCCCCAAATGGACATGTCATGACATTTCTTGATTTTTCCCCCCCAAACCACAGCTTTCCGCGGCTCCAACTGACCAAGTCCGTAGACCTTCTTCGCCCCCATGGTCTCAAGCAGAGCCAAGGCGTGTTGCCAGTGCCCCTCCTACGGTGCAAAGTGACCAAGGTGGGCCAAAGCGAGGATGGGTAAATTGGCGCATCTTCTGATTTTTTACTTAGCAAAGTTGGTTTATAAGTAGGTCAACTAAGTTTTGGTGTATATATATATATATTGATTGTGTTCTATAATTAGATCTCGGTTCAAAGCAACACCTGAGGGGCACCACCATGCAATTTCAATATAACTTATGGATATTTTTGGAAAATATATCTGCATATAAAAAAGGGTCAACTATGGAGTTGCCCTGCCACAGCTCCTGGCGTGTGGTCACCTCATTAAAAGAACATCGCGTAACACATCGCAACGGCCATAGATGGTAAATCTCTATGGATTGATGATCAATCCCAATGGGAAATCAATCCATGTTTGGATCTCAAAACAGAGCTTGCGAGTATTTTCAAGGACTGGTGTTCTGTTTTTCGGTTTAAATGATGCTTAAAATCATGACCCTTAGATCTGCAAAATCAGTTTTTTTTTCTGAGGGTTCAACAGTAAAGTTCCAGAATCCCCTGGTTGCTGTCGGTAGCTGCTTGGATTTTGACCCCGAATAAGTTGGGAACCTCCCAAAAACCAATCCACTGAGAACTGAAACTGGAGAATCCCCGGCCCTTTTCGTTCGACGTCCCGAAAATTGGCCCATTGTTGATGGGGATATCCCAGCTATTACCGTGGCCCCAAACAGGGTTGACATACATGATATGGTACCTAATGATCCACAGTAACTAGTGTAGTCCCTGGTAAACTGACATTAACTGTGGAAAATCAGCATTTTTTACTGGGTAAATCAACGAACTACATGGCTGTTTCCAATAGAAAACTGTGAATGTTTACCAGAGGGTACAATGTGAGGCCCCCAAGATAGCTAAGTTGGTGCACATAACTCCAATAACTATGGTTTATGGTACTTATAACGAACTAGTTACTGGGGCAAATCTAAACCAACATTCACATCACTGGGGGGCCCCACATTGTAGTAGGTGAGATCATAACCATCACTGGGAGAACCAGGTCTATGAACCAGTTGCAGTTCCTGGGGCCCTCAGGTCGCGCCCAAACTTCCAGTCCTGGCCATTGATCGCCGCCCCAAAAGCTACTGGGCTCAACGGAAAGTGCCGCACCTGCCGAGTCCATGGTTTTTGTTGCTGGATTTTCGCTGCTTGGAGATATCCCACAAAGATCATTTCACAGCGCAATTGCGCAATGGCCTGATGACAGAGGAATTACCTATTTAAAAATAATAAAATATATATTATATCTTATATATATTATATATCATATGTATTAAATATAAATCTTATATATCTTAGATGTATTATATATAAATCTTATATATCTTATATCTTATAAATCTTATATATCTTATATATCTTATATATCTTATATATCTTATATGTATGTATATTCCGAAACTATGTTAAGTTGCCAAAGGGTAACGTTGACGTGAGGTGCTCGCCCACAAACTGTTCCGTGGCGTGGCATACCACCAAAACTTCCATTGATCTTTCAGGCACCCTGTGGATCTTGTCGGGTGAATTTCATGTTGGAAAGGGATGAACCAATTATTGTGGATGATTTCCTATCAAAAAGAATCCAAAACCATCACGTCCCATGAGTTTTGGAGAAACTCATCAGAATTGCATGAGAAAAAATACTTTACTTCGTGTGATCCCCACCATGACATTTATACATTTTCTTACTGGCAAATCTTCTGGCATTCTATCTGACATATCTTGTGGCATTCTATCTGGCATTCTATCTGGCATATCTTCTGGCATATGTTCTGACATATCTTCTGGCATCTCTTCTGGCATTCTATCTGGCAAATCTTATGGCATTCTATCTGGCATATCTTCTGGCATTCTATCTGACATTCTATCTGGCATATCTTCTGACATTTTTCTGGCATTCTATCTGGCATATCTTCTGACATTCTATCTGACATATCTTCTGACATTCTTTCTGGCATATCTTCTGACATTCTGTCTAACATATCTTCTGACATTCTTTCTGGCATTCTATCTGGCATATCTTCTGACATTCTATTTGACATCTTTTCTGACATTCTTCCCGTTGAGGTCCGGCAGTGCCCACTGCGATCTGGAAGTCGCGGTTGAGGTCCGGCAGTGCCCACTGCGATCTGGAAGTCGCGGTTGAGGTCCGGCAGTGCCCACTGGGACCTGGTGCTCGCGGTTGAGGTCCGGCAGTGCCCACTGGGATCTGGAGCTCGCGGTTGAGGTCCGGTAGTGCCCACTGCGACCTGGAAGTCGCGGTTGAGGTCCGGCAGTGCCCACTGCGATCTGCAACAGGTCCGGCAATGCCCACTGGGATCTGGAGCGCGCGGTGGAGGTCCGGCTGTGCCCACTGGAATCTGGACTGCGAGGAGGAGGCGGGGGGTGAGGAGGCGGAGGAGGCGGAGGAGGAGGAGAAGAGCTCTGTTAAAATCTAGCAACCCTCACCTGGCAGGTGGGGAAAAACTGAAGAAACGGGTTTTGATTTCAAAGGGACATCATATTTATGAAAAAATAAAATTGTCATTGTGCATTCCTGTGTTGTACAGGATATATTCCTCACCTGCCAGGTGCGGATTGTTAGATTTTATCAGAGCTGTTCTCCTCCTCCTCCTCCATCTCCTCCTCGTCCTCCTCCTCGCAGTCCAGATCCCAGTGGGCACAGCCGGACCTCCACCGCGAGCTCCAGATCCCAGTGGGCACTGCCGGACCTCAACCGCGACTTCCAGGTTGCACTGGCACTGCCGGACCTCAACCGCGACTTCCAGATCGCAGTGGGCACTGCCGGACCTCAACCGCAACTTCCAGATCGCAGCGGGCATTGCCGGACCTCAACCGCGACTTCCAGATCGCAGTGGGCACTGCCGGACCTCAACGGGAAGAATGTCGGAAAAGATGTCAAATAGAATGTCAGAAGATATGCCAGACAGAATGTCAGAAGATATGCCAGAAAGAATGTCAGAAAGAATGTCAGAAGATATGCCAGACAGAATGTCAGAAGATATGCCAGAAAGAATGTCAGAAGATATGTCAGATAGAATATCAGAAGATATGCCAGATAGAATGCCAGAAAAAATGCCAGAAGATATGCCAGATAGAATGTCAGATAGAATGCCAGAAGATATGCCAGATAGAATGCCAGAAGATTTGCCAGATAGAATGCCAGAAGATATGCCAGAAGATATGTCAGAACATATGCCATAAGATATGCCAGATAGAATGCCAGAAGATTTGCCAGTAAGAAAATGTATAAATGTCATGGTGCATCATTTGAAGTGAAGTAATTTGTTTTTGTCGACACAATCCGTAAATGAGGTTTCATGTATCAGTGTGTAATTACATGACGATTACATTTGCATAAATACACTTTCATCAGCGACAAATCACATTAAATCACAATTCATATTTAGTATGTCATATATCATCATACATATATCAGAAGGGTTTGTCTATGAACGGTGTATACCCGAAAATAAGAACTTAACGGGGTACATGATGATGAAACATATAATTGTAGGGTACCCCGTTTGAGACAAATCCATATTGTCAACTACCACCTAATTTATCCAGATATATCAGTCACATTTAAATCATATAACGTTTCATATGCATCAATATATCACATATACCCTCTGGTAATTCAACATAGCTATTGAAAATGGCCATTTAGTTCGTTGATTTACCTATTAAAAATTGTGATTTTCCCCTTCGTGATGTTAGTTTACCAAAGGGTATCATTCGTTCGCTGAGTAATTACAGTAGAATTCACTGACCGTCACTGACCTGCAAAAATTTGGATGCTTCTGGGATTCAACACAAATCACCAAGTCTAGAGTGACGTGCTACAGATTATGCACTGATCATCACATTCCCTATTCAAATTGCCATAAAATAGGGTATACCAACAATTTTCAAACAAACCCATATCAAATATGTATATGAAATACATGTACACATACATGTATTTTAATCAATGTTACAGATATTACTATGCATGTCATGATCCTATATCATGAACAAACCCATAAAGTATCACAAATCAGAAATCAAATATCATATGATATCATATGTACATGCCGTGTATATATATATATGCGTATCATATCATATCATAGCATATCATATCATATCATGTACATGCACCATAGCATATATCATGTACATGTACCAAATCATATTTCATGTACCATATCATATATCATGTACCATATCATAGATAATATATCACATACATTCATAATACCATATATCATATAGTATTAAAAACATACTTTGTACACACTTCTTTAGTGCAGAGTCGGCTCGCAGCGTCGCAGTGTCCGCAACACCGCCTGCATGTCCTCAAGCAGCAACCAGCAACTCTGCCAAGCCTGGTGAGGCAACCACAGCTTTACAGAGTGGCTACACCATGATATGATTAGCCCTACAGGATGGGGCCCCAGTTTGTTAGCTAAGGTGCCTGATAAGTGGCTCAACTATGGTTCATGGTAGATATAACTATAGATAGCTATAGATAATTATAGTTGGTGCAAATAACTATTACTTGTAGATAACAAGTTGGTGTATGATACGCGCATACTTATATTTAGATGGGGCCCCACAAACCAACAAACATAACTGGGGGGGCACCATCCTGTAGTAGAAATATAACTTTTTATCACAATACCTACTATAATTGTTAGTGATTACCGTCGGGTAATTCAACATAGCGAACATAAATAATCAGAAATACACAATCTATAAGTAGGTCATGTTCTATAGCCATGTAAAATTACCAAATGGTAATTTTACAATCAAAAATTACATGGTTTTATGCATTTTTGGTAGCGTAGATATGACATGAAAAATGTCCAAGGATTAAGCATGAAGAAGTGGGGCTTTAACTAGGGCAAATGGTGATATCATAGGGATATAATGGGGAAATCACCCAAAATATCCAACTGGGTGTACCCGAAAACCAGGGATACGACATTTTTTGAGAGGGAACATGATAAACCATTGGATCTTAGGATGCACTGTTTTCAAACAAGACCACATCATTACGAAGCATTTTTAGTATATGTGTTTTTTTTAATGGGGGCTCAAAAGTCTATGAGTATTCTCCAATACATGCTTAAAGATTGAGTTACTTGGAACCATTCACTAGGGTGACTGAGATTGCCTGATCCTGCATTCAATCGCTGGTAAGATAAATATGGCCCATAGACCTTCCTAGTCCTTTCTTGTCCTTCCTAGTAGTCCTTCCTAGGTATTCCTACCTCCCTGAATTTTCCAACTTCGAGATTGTGTTTCAAACCACATACGAGAGGAAACATGAAATGCTGTTTTTGCATCACATCTGGGTGTATCCTCTAGCAATCAAACCATCAAATGGCTCGGAATTCATCGAAGAAACTCATCTGATCATATCTGATCTATACAAAATCCTTCGATCTTTCCTAAGCATAAAGTAGTTTTCACATCCTTGCAATTTGGGGGTGGGTTGGGGGAGCCAAAACAAAATACTTGTGTCGTTTCGGTACCTGTTCTGGGGGGTTAACCCCAACCATAATGTAGAGGAAATTCCAAGGGGTATGTTTTCACCTGGTGACCAGACAGATTTCGGTCCAATGGTCATACTCTCCAGGCAACCAAAACAGCACCTCAGCTTTCCCACACGCTGCGATAGCACTTTCCAAGGACCTAAACGCTGGCTGTCGATGAAAACAGCACAAAAACGGCACAAAACAGCTGTTCCCATTGTTAAATTGGGATTTTACCATCAACAGTTCATGTTTGTTGTAACGGTTCGAATTTGTTCTGAAAAATATGAGTTCGTCACTTGGGATTATTGTTCCCAACTTTTTCTGGAAAGTCATAAAATTCCATGGTTCCAGTCACCACCAAGCAGTACATCTTGTCTCCAGCAAGCCGTACCTTGTCCAAACACCAACCGCATCATCCGAAAAGGGATCACCGTACCAGGTCGGACAGCAGCTTAAAACAAAAAAAGCCCAGTATCCTCATGGCTGCCTGGAACTCCCAATTTTCCGAGTTAAATCCCAACTTTCCTCACCTTGTCTGCAGTTTTTGACGTGAAATCCCAATATTTGGAGAGTTCGAGTTCGCCAGCTGGCTGAATCCCTCATTTTCTCTGCTTAAAAATCACCATCCCTAGTTAAATCACCATGTTTTGATCTTTGATGGAATAGTGATGGAAATCTGAGTTAAATAGTCATCATCCCCAGTTTTCAATAGCCATGGTCATGAAATCCCCCATTGTTCGCAGGTCTTTCTTCCGAGTGTCACTTGGTCCGCGTTGGCGCCAAGTTTGTTCAGCAGCTGCAAAGCATGGAGCCACGCTCCACCACAGGCAGCGATGGCTGCGTTGCCTCCCAGTGATGATGAATCACACTTGGGGGGTTCAACCTCAAAACCATTAGCCAAGTGGGAGCATCATCGCAAACCAACAAACAACTATTGTATAATTGTAACATAATTGTATGACATGACATATAAGATCGTATACCAACTGTTTGAAACCAAGCAAAATATCGATGCATTCATCGAAGCATCTTCTTGGGTCACATGCAACGGTTTACCCTTAAAAATCACCCGGCATTGGTGATCTTCGCCATTTTTACATGGCCAAGTGACAAGTAATGACGTTTGGAAGCAGCTGCTGCTGATGCATGTCATCTAACCTTGGTGGCTGTTTTCCCACCTTAAAGGTGAACGTGACAAAAGACGTTAGACAACAACAAGGGCGATTGAAGCAAGAACGATATCAAGAGATGTGGTGATACAACACCAATAATTGGTGTGTATACATATATATATATATATGATTGTATATGTATAAGTATGATTTAGATTAGCATCCAACTAACAGCTCCACTCTGAGAATCGCCCACTTGAAGGTTGGAGCCGACAATTTTGCCCGTGAACTTGTTGCAGTTCGACCAGAAGAATAGTTCCACTCAAACCGTATGTAGCCAGAAAATATATCACAACAAGTCATGCAGCATCAGTCGGGTTTGGGTAACATGCCCGCCCCTGATATGCTTCTTGATTTTGTTGCACCCCAATTCGTTCGATATACCATAAACCCAACAGTTAGCCCTTTAAGCAAAACTGGTTGGTGGTTTCAACCCCTCTGAAAAATATTACTCAGTTGGGATGATGACATTCCCAATCTATGGAAATCCTGGAAAGTCATAAAATTCATATTCCAAACCACCAACCAGCTATTATAATCGCTAGCATAAATCACATAGATTTCCTCACTATCGCCTAAATCCTCATGGCAGGATTCGACCGAGCAACACGGAGAGAGCCCCGGTCCACTGTTGACCCTGACGCGACGAGGAAGACATCTGGGCAGCCAGTTCTTGGATATATCCTGGTTAGCCTTCAGTTTTCCTCTGACATAGATGTGCTATATCTTGATACAGTGCATCAAAATGACAGGTGTATATACGTATATATATATATTATATATATATACACACATAATCCCTTGGGATTCGGGGTATACCCTTCGTCAGAAAGATAGAAACCCCCAGCATTCGGGGTATCATCCCTTTGCGCCGGTGGCCATAGCTATGACCGCCGGTCGTGAGTGAAAAATCACCTGAAACCTTCAAACAAATATTCAAAAATATACAGTATTACATATATATATGTATGTATCATATATATCAAATATATATATATATATCACATATATATATATATATATATATATATATGCATCATATATATCAAATATATATCATATATATCATATATATCATATGAATCAAATATATCATATGAATCATATATATCATATGAATCATATATATCATATATCATATATATCATATATATATATCATATATATCATATATATATATATATCATGTATATCAAATATATATATATATATCATATATATCATATATATCATATATATCATATATATCATATATATCATATATATCATATATATCATATATATCATATATATCATATATATCATATATATCAAAAATACCATATATATATATATATACAAATCATATATATCATATATACCATATATATATATAAATCATATATATATATAATATCATATTTCATATATTTTCATATGTATCATATATATCACATATATATATATATATATCATATATATCATATATATATCATATATATTTCATTTATATCATATATATCATATATATATATACATGATATATATGATATATATATATATATGTATCATATATATCATATATATATATCATATATTATCTATATATCATATATATCAAATATATATATATATATCATATCAAAAAACATAAATATCATATATATATGTATGTCATAGATCATAAATACCATATATATCATATATATGATTTACCTATATATATATATATCATGTATATCATGAATATATATCATATATATATCATATATATCATATATATATATATATATATCATATATATATATATATCATTTATATATATATATATATCATATATGTGATATATATATATATATCATTTATATATATATCATATATGTGAGATATTTGATATATGATATATGATATATGATATATATATAACATATATATCACATAATATATATATATATCTATCATATATATAAATAGATCATATATATATACCATATCTATATATATATCGTTTCTATATAAATATATATCATATATATCACATATATGATATATATATATATACATATATACATACATATATATATATATATGATATATATATATACATATATACATACATATATATATATATGATATATATATATATATCATTTTTATATATATATATATCATATATATATCATATATATATCATATATATATCATATATATATATATCATATATATATCATTAATATATAATTATATATATATCATATTATATTCTATGTAAATTTGGTTAAACACTATTTTTCATATGGTCTGCGGACATCTTTTCATGGCTGAGCCTACTTCATTTTTTAGAGTTTCTCTACAAGTCGACCCGGATATCCGGATGACAGCGAGTCCCGAAAGTGGGACATGCACCCGGCCTGGTAAACATACAAAAACCATAGGAAAACCATGGGAACACCATGGGAAAACCATGGGAAAATGGTGATGTATATGGAAAATCACCATTTCTGTATGGGAAAATCAACTATGGGCCAATGTCCATAGTTTTTTGTATGTTTACCAGAGGGCAACAGTAACATGCCTTTTTGGGGATTGATAGTGATTTATAGGGAGTTATGGAGGTTTACTCTCCACTATTTTCTACATAGCCATGGAAGCTATGGCCAATTTAGTGCGATGATGAAATTACCTATGAAAAGAAGGTTGATGTTCCATAGCAAACTGTCAAATTGTCAGAGGATAACCTTGGAACATAGAAACCAACATCGAAATCTGACAGAAAAGTAGGCCAAAACAAATCTGTGCTCAGAATAATGACAAACCATGACAAGGCGACAAACTCTTAAGTGGCTCTCAATGGGTCTCACATTGCGATCCCCATTTATCATATTTATCAGCCAGTCACTATCTTCAGGCTAATCCTAGGTGTTTCCCGGATAGCATATTCCTTCATCAACAACAACATGTCACCAGTTGCTTTACCCACCGTTTCACTGACATGACCCAAAAATATCGATATCACTTCCCCAGTCCTTGCCTGACATGACATCATTTAAGACCTATTCATCCACCAGTCAGGGTGTCTTATCTGAGATACCCCGGGAAAAAACATCGTTGAGCCATTAGTTGACTGCTTGAGGTATACTTCCCCCAAAAAATGCCAAGAAATACCACTCCAGTAAATCCAGTCCATGGCCAGTCTTAGATGGTTAGGTTTCAGATATTTACAGTATCCCGATTTACGATCAGATTAAGCTAAATTCAAGTAGCCTTAAGTAATATCATGTAATATCCATATTGATATCCATTGTTTATTGATTACCCTCTGGTAAACTAACATGACTATGGAAAATCACCATTTCTAGTTGATTTACGGTAAATCAACTAATTATGGTAAATCATTTACCCATTAAAAATGGTGATTTTCTATAGTTATGATAAATTACCAGAGGGTAAATCCCCATCATTGGTTTATATCCCGATGAAATCCCCATAAAAGCCCCATGAAGTTGGTTTCCATAAAAAACGTCGTGAAATCAAAGGCCTTCACCAGTTGAGAAGAGTTCAAAACTGTGTGTCGTCCCTAAACATACTGGTTGGTTGAGAACGGGATTCCCAGTTCGTGGATTGTGATATTCCTTAAGATATTGGTTAGATATGGTTAGTATAATCCCCGAACCAATCATCAATAAACCATTATCTAACAGTTATATCAAGTTTATATCCCCATATGTTACATATGTTTGGTGGTTAAAACCTATGATGATGATGATGATGATGAGGATGAGGATGATGATGGTGATGATGATGATTAAATCACCACGAACTGCCCGAACAAATCCTCCACCGGGAACCCAGGGCTTTTTTAAGCCCACCTTTTCGCAAGCGAACACGGCCGCGCCGTAGCTCATCGCATCCAACTGGATGCCACCATCGCGCACCTGGCGTCTCATCGCCATATGGTTTCCGAAAAAATGTGGCTACCCCCATGGTACCTATTTATGGATGGTTTGGAATGATTGGAATGGAAAATCCATCTATAAAAATCCATGAAAAATCTATGGATGGTTTATGAAAATCTATGGAACATATTTATGGATGGTTTATGTCATGGAAAATCCATCTATATGATGAGGGATGATTTGGGGGTAAGCCATGACTTAGGAAACCTTCTAATATTGCAAATTGTTCGGATGTTTTTTTCAGGGTAAACGGTCGGAATATGTGGACACCCATCTGTTGAAACCACAGAATTGTAACATGTTGCTTCACCCATCTATAGATAGGTTAACCATGGTTAAGCCACCTTTTTCGGGGACGAACCTGATCACAAGAGAGTTATTTTCACATATTTTCATACATGGGCTGATCATCCAAGTACTTCATATATAAGTTACCCTCTCGTAATTTAACAGTTTGCTATTGAAACTTGTCCATTTATAGTGGATTTACCCATTGAAAATTGTGATGTTCCATAGTTACGTTAGTTTACCAGAGGGTATATAAATCCGAAATATAGAATTATGAGATTTGATTTAACCAACTATAATGGGATATATCAGTAACTATTTCATGAATATTTTTGATGGGATGCAACAGAACTCACTATGATCAATGTGGTACGGTCATCCATCCCATAATGGGAATCCATTAAAGAATGGATATTAATAATATATAACTGCAAGGATTGATGACCATCCCCCATTATGGCTGTGTGTGTTCTGATGATTCTTGACGATCCCGCCCCTGGACAAAGATACGGATACTGGTTTCAGAAAGGGAGAAATGATTTCGGATCTTTCCAATAAATCAATGGTCATTTCAGGAACCTAAAATGGAGGTACTGTACCATATAAGGCCATATTTTGTGGGCTTACATAGGCCTTACATAGGCCTTATATAAGGTAGGTACCTCCAATTTAGGATCCTGAAATTCCCATTGAATAAATGTGGTAAGTACACCCAATAATGTCAATGTAGGATTAATAACCCCCCCCCACGAGGTCAGATATACCTTGTAACGTCTTTCCTAGTTTTTTCCTAAATAAACGGCCACTGAACCATAAAATTTTGGATACGGTTTGGAATCTATAAAAGTCAATTAGATTTGCATAGAATTCCATTGGATTTGATAAGATTTGAGTCTTAAAATCTCATGGAGGTTGATTAATAAGGGGAACCCTGGTTATTATTATTAATGGGGGACATGGGCTCATGGGGGGTACCCTTTGGGAGCTATCAAAATTGATAATTTTTATTTTTTATATATTATATAGAATTTAATTGGAAATCGATCATTTGGGGAATAGTTTTTTTTTCAAATGTTCAATCATCAACAGGGATGGTTTCTGGTGTTTATCAGGTTTCAACTTAAGTATAGCATAAGGAAACCATTTGAAAATAAAGGGAGTTAGACAATAAAACAAAACCTTAAGTATAACAATGAGACATGATGAGAAACAAAAAGAATTGGAAATAATTAAAGAATGTTGGATAAACAAAAAATGGATTTCAGCACAGGGGGTTGATTAATCATTCCAGGCAAAACGGTTTATTAATCTGGGTGGAGCACCTGTTTTTAAATTACATCTTTTTTGGGGGGCAGTGGTGGTTGATTAATACGGGGAGGTTGATTAATCCTACCTTGACATTAATAAACCTACCATTTGGGCATGGTACTTATTTCACATTTATGGCAAAATTGGGGATGGTTTATTACAGGGTGGTGCCCCAGTTCGTTAGCTAAGTTGGTTTACAAGTCCAATAACTATGGTTTATAGGTGATATATCTATAGTTAATGGGATTATAACCCATTTATAACTGGGGGGGCACCACCTTGTAGGGGGGTATTTCCACATTACAAGTGAGTTGTCCCTGAACCATTCACCAAGGAATAAACCCGGAATTCTGCTTTGGCCCACGGCTAGTAACGGCTAGGTCGTCACCCAGCTTTAAATGGATGTTTCTTAAGGTACCAAAAATCAATAAAAATCATCCATTTTAGATTGGGGTTTTCCATTATAAACCATCCAGCTATTGGGGTATCCCTATGACTCAGGAAACCTCCAAATACCATCAATTGTCCAACCCCTGGAAATTGTTACGACTCAATCAAGCCATGAAGGCCTATGCCGCTCCATCAAATCATGGTTGAGTGTTGTAATTATCCCCATTCAACCAGGTGGTAGTAGTAGGTAGCTAGGCCGGAAGGTCGGTAGGTCGGTAGGTAGTAGTAGTGGTAGTAGTAGTATAATACAATGGTCAATATAGGCAAATATTGATACAATGTACAACATATGTATTAAAATAAAATCATTTATTTATATTAATATTAATGGCTCAAGTGAACAATTCCCTTTTTAGTAATACTCACTGGCGCATAAGGAAACCATAGTGAATCATAATAGTCCCTATACAACTACAGTAGGTAATACAACCCCTACACTCTGGTAATTGATCAATAGAAAATCACCATGTTTAGTAGGTAAATCATCTATAAATCATCTATAAACACTCTATAAATCATCTATAAACCATCTATAAATCATCTATAAATCATCTATAAGTCTATAAGAACATGTTTAAAACTGGTAAATCCTCTATAAATCATCTATAAATCATCTATAAAATCTATGCCATGGCTTCAGTCATCCCACCAGCCCCCACCTCTTTGAAGAGATCCAAAGCAACAGTCCACTGCTGTTGCCGGCAGCATGAACTCATCAGGCTGCCTGATGAATAGCTGAGATGATCCATGATCAATGGGAGATCTTCAGGATCCAATACATGGAGGTACGTTTTAAAGTACCATAATTTTCGGCGATATGAAAAAAAAAGAAATTTTCCCTGAAAGGTCTGGGCCTGAAACATAGGCCAAACATATATGGTAGGTACCTCCGTCCTCAATCGGTTCCTGAGTCATGACCATTGACATGAGATGTTTTACCCTCTGGTATATACCCTCAATTGGCAACTTTCAACAGGGAACATGATGATTTTGTGCAGTGGATCGAATGGGGAAAACCTCCTGGAACTGTGCAGACAAACCCAAATTGGTGATACCCTCTGGCAATTTTACATAGCCATGGTATAGATGGCACATTTATAGATGGTTTACCTATTAAAAATGTGATTTTTCATGGCTATGTTAAATAACCAGAGGGTAGCCTCTGGCAATTTAACATACCTATTGGAAATGGCCATAGAAAGTTCGTTGATTTGCCAATTAAAAATAGTGATGTTCCAGTTCGTTATGTTAGTTTTTCCAGATGGTAATAGTTTTTCGCAACTTTTTCTGGCTGAATTCTTATGGAAAGAAACTATGGGATCTGGCTGAATTCTGATGAATCATCGGCAATCCTCGGCCATGTTAAAGTTTTTTTTTCCATAGCAAGTCTGACCAGGATTCTTTAGGGTCATCATGACCCTTTGTTTATCTCAACAAATTGTGTGGCTAATCAATCATATGTGCCTTGGTCAAAACATAACCAACATACGTATATACCAGAATAGGACTATTTAAAAAAAGGAATGGATATATATATATACATATAAAAATCCCTAGAAATGGATTGATGACTATCCCCCAATATGGGCAATTTACGCAAGTTTCGAACATTGTACATATGATTTATGGATAATCATCTTATCATCTCATTACCTTTGTGAACATCAAAAGAGCTGGTGAATGGGTGTTCATCCTTACAAATATATACAAATATCGCATCATAGGGCTTGACCATGCTTGACCCACATGCACAAAGTACATCAAAGTACATTAGCCATCCTTCATGGTTTAATCAATGGGGTATAGCCTGAAAATATTCGGATCTGCAATGTTCTAAAAACGGGAAGTTGGGACATGTTGCTGCAGTTCCTGCACGGTAAATAGTTGAGCTAAATTAGTGAACGTTATCTTTCAAGAGAATGCAGGAGAAATCAGATGCTATCACCAATTTTTGATGGCCAACTGAGCGGCCAACTGCTTTCCAATTTATGTTTTTTTACATGATGTCATAGGATGTCCAATCTCAGATCTCCTGCAGGGTTCACTAAAATAAACTGTTGGTTCATAGGAAAACAAGATCGATCTGGTACTGGGGATGCGAAGTTCAAGAAGCACCATTTTTATGCATCAAAAAATTCGGTTGATTTCAAACCTTGCTGTTTGATCATGGATACCCTCTGGCTATGTCAAAATAGCTATTGAAGCCATGGAAAGTTCGTGAAATTTCCCATTCAACATGGTGATTTTCCATAATTTTTTGTATGTTTACCAGAGGGTATGTCAATACCAAATCTCTAGATTTGAACTGGTTGGTGGTGCAATAACCATCTTGAAAAATATGAGTTCGTCAATGGGAGGATGACATCCCATATATGAAATGGAAAATAACATTCATGTTTGAAACCACCAACCAATGAATATTGGAAAGGTTCTTTCTAACGTTCAAGTCACCAAGTATTCGTTGCAACTCATTTTACGCATCATCCCGCCATAAGTATCCCGTTCAAAAAATCCCATTCGATGAAAGATCGCCCGAATGGTTCCATTGAAAAGTTGGACGCCACAAAACTCGGCGGTGTTGAAACACCGCAGTCCCCAAAAAAGATACATTCACAGCGAAGAAAAATCCTTCACTACTCGACTGTGCGGATTCTACTTGTTCATCTTTTGGGGGGAGTTTCTATATGACCATCCTGGATTTCTTTGTTCCATATCTTCCATTTCTTTGGGGGGACCCCGTGAAAAAAACCCAGCGAAGAGAAGTCATCACTTTTCTTCAATCGCCCGGGTACTGTAAATGATCACATTCCGCCGCACGGCTTCTTTGGCCTGGGAATTTAGGACCAAAAATGCTGGGAAACTCCGAAAAGATCTTCCCCTCCGTAATCATGGCCATGGCCAGGAAAAGATCACCATTCAGTTCAATGATTTTCCCATCCCCATTTAGCACCCTCCATTTATTCGAGCTTTCCCATTGCTACGTTTGATTGCCGGAGGTTAGCAGAAACAATACTGGGAATAAAATGGTGATTTGGGGATGTCACAGAACTTGGCCATACAAATATGGTGAAGGCTACTGCTGCAACTCTAGAACTAATGCCTCACAACGGCTAGGCTTAGACAATCACTTAGCATTGCATTTTTACCACGTGAATCAGGGGTTTCAGAGTCTCTTCACCACTGTAAGCCTGCTGACCCACAGGTCTATGATCCAAACCTACAACCATGGCTGTTTGCCATATCCAGACATACCAAAGGGACTTGCCAGTTCAGTTCCTGTTCCAACAATAATGTTGGTATAACCGGTATAATTGGGAGAGAATGGGATACAATGGGGATCGACATATAAAACAAATCATAACGATTGGTAAAAATTGTCCAAAGAAACGATTGGTGCCTTAACGGTGCACGATTGGATTTAGGCTTGATATATCTTGATATATCGAACTGGTTATAACGGTGCACGCTGGAAATCCCGTGGATCATCCAGTGATCCAGATCCATGGCAGACCCGTGGATTCCAAAATTGTGATGGGCAAAGATTGGTGGCTAAAAAAACAGTGAAAGATGTAGGTCCAATCCATAAGTTTTGGTTTTTCCAGGGGAAAACACCATATTTTTTCTTGATATATAGTACCCTCTGGTTATGACTAACAGTTCGCCATGGAAAATTCCCCCTTTTTAATAGATTTAATAGGTTTGCCATCTATTTCTATGGGTCATCGAAAAACCATGGCGAACTGTTAACAGTCATAACCAGCTTGGGTATTTTTCAAATGGTTTTTTCGCAATCTGAAGATCCCATGGAGCCACTATGATTTGGTTTGCAATCCCATCTAACCATAGATATGATATGTCCCCTTTCATCCTGGGTAGCCGAGTTATTAACATTAAACCAAGTTACCTATCTGGGGGGGGTCCTGTACGCATCACCATTTTTTTGTTCGAATCCCATATTGTTGTGGACTCACCAACCATTTGCAAGTTGGTTTACCAAGAGTTTGGGTTTCAGTTTGGTTTCAGTCCACTAATATTCGTTGATTGCATAAGTTCCCATGTGGTTGGAGGTTACATCCCTATGTGTTTTAAGTTTAAATCACCACTGTTGACGTTGAAGTCTCCATGTCTTGCCATCTTGCCATGTTTGATGCGAGCAAATTCCCAGTGTAACTGGAGCCTGGCTCATCACAGTTTTTCAGTGTTGAATCACCATAGATCACCATGTTTAATGGTCCCAACTTCTGTTTCCCAGGGATTCCCGTTGTGCCCAGGGACCATCTGCTCCAGCAATTCTAGTGCGATGTCCCACCTGCGCCCCACGGCTGTCACAGCGCCTTGCAAGGCGATGCTGGCGATAACATGGCGGATTTTGCAAATGAAACAACCAGGTGACTTGGGGCACCCTAATTTTAGGAAACCCGCATATCATGGAGTCATGGAGTTTGAATGGGGGTTCTTTTGATGTCTTTTGATGTATTTTTTGTTGAAGAACATAGCTTTTCACGTGGGTTTCATGAGTTTTAATACTGCTATAATCACTGAAAATCCTCCATATGTAACCAACTCCATGCTGGAGGAATGCAGGAATTATCAGCCAACAGCTCCTGTGCTTCCTGGCTAGGATGGTACCTAGCCTCATCAGAGAAACAATATAGTATGTCGTGTCTTCACAATTGATTACATGTTGAGAGGTCGTGTTTGGATTCTGTTGTGATTCTGTTGTGTGTGTGTGTCTAACAAATAAATAAATATACATATAATCATATATATTATACATACAATCATATATATATGTATATAAAATCATATATATATATGAGTATATATATAATCATATATATATATGATTATATATATAATCACATATATGATTATATATAAAAACATATATATATATATATTTAATCATATATATATAGCATATAGATATTGCACACATGTTTGGGCAATTCCAGATCCCTTGTTATGAGTTTCTTCCGCTTTGCTGGTTACATTGAATCCCTGAGGGCTGCAAATTTGCCCAGCTACATGCCCCATGGCCCCATATTTGATGAGAGGGGTTGGTAAAGAGCGAGAATGCCGAGTCATGGACTGTGATAATCCCGAATAAATTGAGGCTAGATATATGATATATATATACATATATATTGTATTATTGTATTACATACATTACCCCCGAAACGAATCATCAACCAAGAGTGGTTTTGCAGTCACTGCTCACGACTTGTTTGCTATATCCCAAAATTTGCTGGATTGACCCACTTGAAATCTCCATTTGAACTCAGTTCCCATGAATTTCCCATATGAAACATAGGTGATATAGATTCATGGATGTCCCCTTCCATATTTTCCCAGGTTTTCCCTGGAGTACTCATGTGAATTTACATCGACTTCTGAAGTCAGCAGGGGTTACAGATCTCGCCTCCATAGATGTGACTCCAATCCTCTGAACTTTCTGGACGCTGAACCTGGAAGCTTGGATCAACGAAGGGTGATTTCATGGTGATTTCATGGAGATTTCATAGTGATTTCATGGGGATTTCATGGGATTTAACAGGGGTTAATGATGGTTAATGATGGTTAATGAAATGTTAATGATGGTTAATGATGGTTAATGATGATGACATGGTGATTTTAGTTGATTTTTCTGGGCATAGAACGTGATTCGCAACCAACAAATACCAAGAATATATGATATGAGTGGATCATAGTAGTTAGTCGTCACCACTGGCAAGAATAGATGGGCTGGTTTGATGTATCATTTACGGCAGTAAGATCCAAGTTACCACCTGGTTATTTAATATAGCTATGGAAAATCACAATTTTTAATAGGTAAACCATCTATAAATGGGCCATCTATACCATGGCTATGTTAGTCATAACCAGAGGGTACCTGAAAAGGTTGGGAAAAATGGAGGGCACATGAGGGCACCCCTCTTCTCTCATCAACCAGCGATCCAAAAAGGACATCGTGTTGGATTGCCAGGGGAATATTTGTTACAATGTGGGGCCCCCCAGTGATGTTTGTTGGTTTAGATTTGCCCCAGTAACTATAGTTCTAAGTACCATAAACCATAGTTATTGGAGCTATAAACCAACTTAGCTATCGAACGGGGGCCTCACATTGTAGTCATAGTTTTGTGTTTGTCTTGTTTAAGTGCAAGTTTATGTTGATAAGGTATGCTAAAATATGTGGAAACGTGCTATGTATGTCGGTCACAGATACGAAATCTCCATCTTTATCGGTCATCTGGGCCCCCTTGGGCCCCCATGGGCCCCCAGGCTGGGCCCCCAGGCTGGCCCCAGGCACCACCTTTCCCCGGCCTGGTTCTTCAAGTTGCTCAGCAACCACAAGCTGACGTGCCATGCGTCGCCTCTGCCACAAGCGCCTTGCGGCCCGAAAAAACGCAACATCCGACTCGAAAATCATGGGTCATGAAGTGTTGATCATCTTTAAGCAGGGCTTTTTTATGCAGCCACTGCTCAACTCGACTTCCAGTAATCAAACATGGCCGGAAAATGCCGGAACACCGGCCAAAAAAAAGGCTCGAAACATGGCCAAACTTAGATTGAATGCACAATGTGTGTATTCTTGGCCGGTTAGTGTATGAGTATGTATTAATATATATATATATACATACATACATATATAATCATATATATATATTACACATAAACATTAGGCACAAAATCATTTATGGCACAACAATCAACCTACCCTCCACAATTTGAGGGAACACCTGCACGCATTAAATTATGTCGCTACATGTTTTTTTACATGTCTTTATCACCAAACATGCAGGTTTCATTCGTAGATATGCCCTGAAAAGTTCATTCAAGGTAGGCTACTAACCCCCTATAGTAAGCAAACAACCATCAGTGTTCAATTCATGTCCCCAAAATCTTTGATACTGAAAGCCCATAAACCGCCAATGATTGACAGTTAAATACCATTAAAAAACCGTTGAAAATTTGGTGGTTCATCCCATTTAGGACGTGGATTATAACCCCAGTTCTAAGTAGGAAAGTTGGGCTATGGTTATAAACCACCTGGGATGAGCTACCAAGTAAACTTGCTATTGTTTATGGCTCAAACAAATAATTGATACTGTGGTTGGTGGTATACCTACCCCTCTAAAAAATATGAAAGTCAGTTGGGATGATTATTCCCAACTGAATGGGAAAAATAAAATTCATGTTCCAAACCACCAACCAGATTGATACTGTACTTAAATCCCCATCCCACAGGAAAAACCATCACTTCGCCGCTGTGGGTGAGTTGGTGATACAAAGGCAACCCAGGAGACAGAAACCATCGGTTTAGTAGAACAGGGTTACCAATTGTCATAGTAATCTATCACTATTTTAGTACATAATAGGGCAGGGAAAAAAAAAACAATCTATCATAATTTATCACCATATTTTGGTTTATGATATAATATAGATGAATATAGATTATAATAGGGGATTACCAATTTTAATGGTAGTTTAATATTAAATCAAGCATCACGTCTTGATTATAGCAAGCCCCAAAAATGTCATGTTTTCCACATATGTTTCTAGTGTCCAACTCTGTGATTTTGGGGGTTGCTATAATTATAGTTCAACCTCCAAAAATTAACAATTGATGATTGAATCCCATCAAATTGTGGTAAAATCCCCTAAGAATCATCAATCACCAATCATCTCCTAAAAGATCTGAATGGGACGGCTGATTTTATTGCTATCTTCTCATATTTTTGTTCATTAATAATTACCCTCTGGTAAACTAACATAGCTATGGAAAATCACCATTTTCAATGGGAAAATCCACTATAAATGGCCATTTTCAATAGCTACGTTAAATTACCAGAGGGTATATTGATTGCTATTTTCTCATATCTTCCATCGTTCAAACTTCCCCCGGCACTGCAGCCGCCTATGGCAGCGCTTACAGCGAAGACGTCTCTGCCTTCGGCAGAATCGAGCAGCTGGAGTGCCGCGGGCCATCGCGAAGCTTTGCCTTTGGGGAGCTGCGGTGAACATCAAAACATCACTGCGGCTGTTACCATGGTGTCATCAACAAAAATATGGACATGTCTGGGTATTCATCATCAAGATTTCTACCTGATGGTCAATCTTTAGTAGTCAACAAACACTGGTTGGTGGTTTCAACCTCTCTGAAAAATATTAGTCAGTTGGGATGACTATTCCCAATACAGTATATGGAAAAATAAATTCATGTTCCAAACCACCAACCAGTAACATATTTCTTCAATCTGTTGCTGGTTTTGGTGAAAATTTCCATGGCAAGTTAAAGTTTTTAGGATGTTACCCTCCAGTAAACTAACATAGACCCTGCCGTGCCTTCAATGTTCCGGGAAGATGTTGGTTTGGATACGTTTCCACTACAGTAAAAAATTGTCGATTTCTCCACCAAAATGTTGAGATTTCATGGTTTTTTTTGTGGATTTATGTGTTGATGGGGTGATTTAACAACCATCACTGGATTGGTTTAAGGGAAAATCTACAGGAAACCATGGTTTTTACCATCAAATATAGGGCTTTCCTGTAAATTGTCCCATCTTCCAATTCTATGAAACCATCAAATATTTTTTGGGAAATAATGGGATATATAGTTGTCACAATGGGAAAAAAGTGGCACAGAATGGGATATAATGGATTATCATGGGTGATTTATTCACCGACATGAGGTTTCAATATGTTTTCACCGGTAGTTGAGTGGGAGACAGGCTAGGATATTCCATTTATTCCATGGAATATGGTGGGATCTCTGGCAATATGTTTGGAACGTGGGTGCAAAAACACAAAACAAAAGCGGAAGTTTGATCATCAACAGTTAGGATTTAAGCAAGTAGCAGACAATATCTAATACAGCGTGCAGTATGCATACATATATATATATATATGTGATAGACCTTTAGGTACTATTTTGTTCGGACTAGTTTTAATGTTTTTAGCCTTGTTAACGCTTCAATGTTATTAAATGATTTAAAAACATTAAAAACATTAATCCCCCTGAAAGGCTTGTGTTTTTAATGTTTTTAATTGATTTAAAAACATTAAACACGTTAAAAACACAAGCCTTTCTGGGGATTAATGTTTTTAATGTTTTTAAAGCAATTAAAAACATTAAAAACACAAGCCTTTCGGGGGATTAATGTTTTTAATGTTTTTAATTGATTTAAAAATATTAAAAACATTAAAAACATTAAACACATTAAACACATTAAAAACACAGAGGCTCCAGAGTCCGAGACTTGAGACCTGTGATTTTGGAATTAAAAACATTAAAAACATTAATCCCCCAAGAGGCTTGTGGTTTTAATGTTTTTAATGGTTTTAATTGATTTAAAAACATTAAAAACATTAATCCCCAGAAAGGCTTGTGTTTTTAATGTTTTTAATGTTTTTAAATCAATTAAAAACATTAAAAACATTAAGCCTTTCGGGGGATTAATGTTTTTAATGTTTTTAATTGATAAAAACATTAAAAACATTAAAAACATTAAAAACACAAGCCTTTCTGGGGATTAATGTTTTTAATGTTTTTAAATCAATTAAAACCATTAAAAACATTAAAACCACAAGCCTCTTGGGGGATTAATGTTTTTAATGTTTTTAATTCCAAAATCACAGGTCTCAAGTCTCGGACTCTGGAGCCTCTGTGTTTTTAATGTGTTTAATGTTTTTAATGTTTTTAATATTTTTAAATCAATTAAAAACATTAAAAACACAAGCCTTTCAGGGGGATTAATGTTTTTAATGTTTTTAATTCCAAAATCATAGGTCTCAAGTCTCGGATTCTGGAGCCTCTGTGTTTTTAATGTTTTTAATGTTTTTAAATCAATTAAAAACATTAAACACATTAAAAACAAAAGCCTTTTGGGGGATTAATGTTTTTAATGTTTTTAAATCAATTAAAAACATGAAAAACATTAAAAACACAAGCCTTTCGGGGGATTAATGTTGTTAATGTTTTTAATTGATTTAAAAACATTAAAAACATTAAAAACATTAAACACACAGAGGCTCCAGAATCCGAGACTTGAGACCTGTGATTTTGGAATTAAAAACATTAAAAACATTAATCCCCCAAGAGGCTTGTGTTTTTAATGTTTTTAATGTTTTTAATGTTTTTAATTGCTTTAAAAACATTAAAAACATTAATCCCCAGAAAGGCTTGTGTTTTTAATGTTTTTAATGGTTTTAAATCAATTAAAAAAATTAAAAACACAAGCCTTTCGGGGGGATTAATGTTTTTAATGTTTTTAATTCCAAAATCACAGGTCTCAAGTCTCGGATTCTGGAGCCTCTGTGTTTTTAATGTTTTTAATGTTTTTAATGTTTTTAATGTTTTTAATGTGTTTAATGTTTTTAATGTGTTTAATGTGTTTAAATCAATTAAAAACATTAAAAACATTAATCCCCCGAAAGGCTTGTGTTTTTAATGTTTTTAATTGATTTAAAAACATTAAAAACATTAATCCCCCAAAAGGCTTTTGTTTTTAATGTTTTTAATTGATTTAAAAACATTAAAAACATTAAAAACATTAAAAACATTAAAAACACAGAGGCTCCAGAATCCGAGACTTGAGACCTGTGATTTTGGAATTAAAAACATTAAAAACATTAATCCCCCAAGAGGCTTGTGTGTTTATTTTTTTAATTGATTTAAAACCATTAAAAACATTAAAAACACAAGCCTCTTGGGGGATTAATGTTTTTAATGTTTTTAATTCCAAAATCATAGGTCTCAAGTCTCGGATTCTGGAGCCTCTGTGTTTTTAATGTTTTTAATGTTTTTAATGTTTTTTAAATCAATTAAAAACATTAAACACATTAAAAACAAAAGCCTTTTGGGGGATTAATGTTTTTAATGTTTTTAAATCAATTAAAAACATTAAAAACATTAAAAACACAAGCCTTTCGGGGGATTAATGTTTTTAATGTGTTTAATTGATTTAAAAACATTAAACACATTAAAAACATTAAACACATTAAAAACACAGAGGCTCCAGAATCCGAGACTTGAGACCTGTGATTTTGGAATTAAAAACATTAAAAAAAATTAATCCCCCAAGAGGCAATTAAAAACATTAAAAACAGTAAAAACACAAGCCTTTCTGGGGATTAATGTTTTTAATGTTTTTAAAGCAATTAAAAACATTAAAAACATTAAAAACATTAAAAACACAAGCCTCTTGGGGGATTAATGTTTTTAATGTTTTTAATTCCAAAATCACAGGTCTCAAGTCTCGGATTCTGGAGCCTCTGTGTTTTTAATGTTTTTAATGTGTTTAATGTTTTTAGTGTTTTTAATGTTCTTAAATATTTAAAAACATTAAAAACAATTAATAACAAAGGGTCCTTTTCAGGGAATTGTTTTTAATGTTTTTAAATCTTTAAAAACATTAAAAATAATTAAAAACAAAGGGTTCTTTTCAGGGAATTGTTTTTAATGTTTTTAAATATTTAAAAAGATTAGAAACAAAAAAGGCCTCCAGACTTGAGAGTTGCACTTATCTTCTTTATTTGAATAGTTTTTGTTTGAATACATACTTTAGTATCAGGATTAGGGTTTGAGTAGTATTTTTTTTTCGGAATACATAATTTAGTTCGGAGTAGGCTTTGAATCGGATTCTTTTTTTAAATACATTTTTTCTTTATTATAGTGTTGGGTTTTTGCTTCGAAAATAATTTTTCTCCAAATCTCGAGGCCTTTTTGTTTTCAATGTGTTCAATGTTTTGTTCATTTTCTTTCATTTCTTGCATGTTTTCTGTAATTTTCTTTATTTCCCTCTATTTCCCTTTTCTTCCTTCCATTTCCGTTCCATTTCCCTTCAATTTCCCATTCATTTCCGTTCCATTTCCCTGTACTTTCCCTTTCATTTACTTTTTAGTTTCCGTTCATTTCCTTTCATTCTGTCTGTAAAGTGCGTTTCCAGAAAAGCACAGGTGCCGAGGAAAAGGAATTATAGAAATATTGATCCGAACCCGGGTTATCGAAGCGAAACAATTCAAAAATATTCGAAAAACAAACGCAAATCATTTTTAACTGTGCTTTGGTGTGCTTTTTGGTTCATAGACACAAATATCCGGAATATTCGAACTGTTATAAGTTCAAATTCCAACTGCATATTTTTGTCATACGGCTTCTCGTATTGTCTCTGCACTCGTCATCTTATTTTTGGAATATTCTAGCTGCTAGACTGTTACGATAAAATATATTTAGTGGCACCAACCCACCTTCAAAGAGAGAGATATCAGCGGCATAAGGAAGGATGACAAGAACTACAAAAGCGAAGACAGAAAAAACGCCTCAGATATGGTTGGAAAGGCATGAATGATGTCTAAACTATTTCCTAAGTCTATCAAACATATTGCAAAATGCAAAGGTTCACAATATACGGAGGAAGACAATTTCGAAGCAAACAGCTCATTTGCTTTGAAATTATTCTTCTTCCGTTATGTAAATGTATATGCCACATGTTCATTAGCAAACAGTTTTGCATTTGCAATTTAGATTGGAGTGCCCCAAAGCCATGTGTTCGGAGTCCTTTTGCAAAATTTAGGTGCATCCATTTGGGGGTTCCGTTTTGGATTAATTTCATGAACTGTTGTGGCATCCAGTTTGCAAAATAGTGAAAGACATCCAAAAGAGTGAACACAATGCCAAAAAGATGTTGCGTCATGATCCTTATGGGACAACCCTTCCACCCGAGCAACAACAGACAAGAACATGAAGGAGGAATAGTAAGACCATAGCTGAGGAAACCTTGCCGGACCTCCCCTGAAGAGCCAGCCCTTCCACCCAAATGAAATCAATAGGAGATAGTGAAGACAACTGAAGAAGTGAAAACAATGTCAAAGAGTTCTTTCTTCATGCTGCTTATGGAACAACCCGTCCACCCCAGCAACAAACGACAAACACATGTAAAGGAAGGCCAAAAGTAAGACCATAGCGGAGGGAACCTTGCCCAACCTCCCCTGCTCAAAGTA